CTTGAGGGACAGCACCCAGGCCCTGGGTTCAAGCCAAAAACTAAAGGGAGTCAAGTGTCTTGGGTTTTCCTGACCAAGCTGGTTTTGATCCTAGATCCTCCTATCTCAGCCTTCTGAGTAGCTGGGATTACGGGCGTGAGCCACCAGCACTGGGCTCCCAGTCCCCTTTCTGGAGCAAGGCCCTGGCAGGTGCACCACACCCTCTATCCTGCTATTTGGATGCCTCTCTCTTGCCCCAAAGCAGAGGCCAGCACTTCCCTTACTGACAGACAGAGGGCGCCCCACAGCCTCGGTGCTAATCAGCCCCAGTGCCAGAGAGTCCACTGAGGCCATGCAAGCAGCCTCCACCCATCACGAGGGTGTTGCTCACCCTGGCCTAGCCCTAGGGATTGGGGGTGAGGGGATAAGAGGAGGGGAGGAGGGAGGAGGAACAGGAGGGAGAAGAGGAAGAGAAATGGTAGAAGATAGAGAAGGAGGAGAAGGAGCTATTAGACATGGGTTGCTTTGCTTTTCCCCATCTCCTTTCCCCCCCATCTCCCCCTCCTCCCTGCCATGGGGCCTGAACTCTGGGCCTGGGCGCTGTCCCTCAGCTCTTCAGCTCAAGGCGAGCGCTCTACCACTTGAGCCACAGCACCACTTCCAGTTTTCTGGTGCTTCATTGGAGATTAAAGTCTCCTGAGCCTGGTGCTGGTGGCCCATGCCTGTAATCCTAGCTACTCTGGAGGGTGAGATCTGAGGATCTCAGTTCAAAGCCAGCCTGGGCAGGAAAGTCCATGAGACTCTTATCGCCAGTGAACCACCAGAAAACAGGAAGTGGCGCTGTGGCTCAAGTGGTAGAGCACTCACCTTGAGCTGGAGAGATGAAAGAGTGCCCCAACCCAGAGTTCAAGCACCAGGACCAACAAAAACCTGGACTTTTCTGCCAAGGCAGGTTTTGAAACTTGATTCCCACCCCCACCCCACCCCTGAGACTTTTATCTGCAAGTAACCACCAGAAAACTGGAAGTGGTTCTGTGACTCAAAGTGGTAGAGCACCAGCCTTGAGCAAAAGAACTCAGGGACAGCACTCAGACCCTAAGTTCAAGCCTCACAACTGATTAAAAAAACAAACATGTAAGGGCTACGTGTGTGCACACACGCACACTGAGGATGGAACCCTGGGCCTTTGCATATGTCAGACCAATGGTCTTCTGCTGAGCCATGTCCCTGGCCCCAGTATAGAGATTATTAGTGAGATAGTTCAGTCTTAACAAACCACATGTCTGAAATCTAGTATGATTCACATTTATTGCACAACTGAGCTCAGATACTACCCTCCCAGCAGTAAACATCCATGGGTATTTGGAGTTCAGGAAACACACACACACGATTCATATCCATATTTTCACCTTAAAATGTTGTTGGTAAGTTGATTATCAACCTAACTACTCAGGAGTCTGAGATCTGAGGATCGCAGTTAGAAACCAGCCTGGGTTGTGGCGCTGTAGCTCAAGTGGTAGAGCGCTCGCCCTGAGCTGAAGAGCTGAGGGACAGCGCCCAGGCCCAGAGTTCAAGACCCACGACCGACAAAAAAAAAAAAAAAAAAAGAAACCAGCCTGGGCAAGAAAGTCCTTAAGACTCTTATGTTCAATTAACCAACAAAAGAGCTACAAGTGGAGCTCAAGTGCTAGAGTACTAGCCTTGAGTAGAAAAAGCCAAGTGGCACAAGGCACTAAGTTTGAGCCCCAGTACCAAACACAGACATGCACACACACACACACACACACACACACACACACACACAGCTGGTTTATATCATAAACCTTTTATGGTATATATGTGATCTATAAATGTAATCAAGCTGTTGTGGTGGCTCATGCCTGACATTAAGCTACTTGGAAAGTTGAAATCAGATGAATCAAGATTCTAGGCTAGTTCAGCCCAGGTTTGTTTGTTTGTTAAAAGTTTACAAGACTCCATCTCAACAGAAGAATCTGGGAGTGGTGAGTAAAATCACTTGAGCCCAGGATTTCAGAGCCAGCCCCCCTCTCTGACTAAATTCTCCAGGTTCAACATAGCAAATTGAACTATTTCTTGTACATTTCCGTTTCTAGCTAGGCAGGTGCTTTTCCACTGGAGCCACGCCCTCTACAGCGTGTGCCCCACCCACGTGGGCAACTTGGGCACTGCCCACATATCGAGCCACACCCACCGCAAGTCTTGCTCTAGACTGAAACCACGCCCGCCGCCTCAGACCACGCCCACAAACGCAGCCACGCCCACCAGTTGATCCCTGTCCACAACATCCAGGCTCAAAACCACGCCCACCTCTTTAGACCACACCTCTCACCCACAATGCAGCCACGCCCCCTGCCCCAGGCCCCGCCCCCCTGCCCCAGGCCCCTCTACTGCTTATTGGTATAGTCTATATAAGATACTGTTTCAGTATAGAACCCTTTTAATGTTCATTTTCTTATTTCATTTGAGCCTACTGCTCTTAATTGCCTTTTTCATTCAAATCTGGTGTTCTACCACTTGAGCCACAGCCCCACTCCTGGCTTTTTGGTGGTTCATGGGAGATAAGAGTGTCAAGGACTTTTCTGCTCAGGCTGGCTTTGAACTTCAAACCTCAGATCTCATCCTCCTGAGCAATTAAGATTACAGACATGAGCCACAGCACCTGGCTTTATTTTATTATTGTTATGACTCTTATTATAATTATTATTGGTTGTGGGGTTTGAACTCAGGGCCTGGGCGCTATCCCTGAGCCTCTTTGTGCTCAAGGCTAGCGCTCTACCACTTGAGCCACAGAACCACTTCCAGGTTTTTCTGCTTATGTGGTGCTGAGGAATCAAACCCAGGGCCTCATGCATGCAAGGCAAGCGCTCTACCACTGAGACACCTTCCCAGCCCCCACTTCGAGGTTTTGAGTGGTTCATTGGAGATAAGAGTCTCACAGGGACTTTCCTCCTGGGCTAGCTCTGAACTGCGATCCTCAGATCTCAGCCTCCTGAGTAGCCAGGATGACAGGCATGAGCCATGGGGGCCCGGCTTTTTATGATCATTTTTTGAGACAGGCCCCTGCTGTGCAGCCCAGGCTGGCCTGGAACTCACATCCTCCTCCTTCAGTCTCCAGGTGCTTCTGTCATTTTTTTCCTGAACCTTGAGCCTTTCTTCTCACTGGCTCTGATGAGATATGGGGCTTGGGGAACAGCACTAAGCTCTCTCCCCCATGGGACAGGAGTGAAGCCGGCTGCTTGGCCAATCCCCTGGTCAAACCAAACAAATCCCCCAAAAAACAAACAAAAACAAAGCAGAAAACCTGGCGCGAGGGTGAGGTCACCGCTTGATCTCCACGGGGCCAACCATGTGATCCGGGATCCCACAACATGGCATGTGTGGGCCAGCTCTTTCTCTAGGGGCCTATAAGGTGCTGAGCGGTGTCCCCCCCCCAACTGGATGTCAGGAGTTCCCCGACTGTTGACCGCCACACTTGTTCTCAGGGTGACCCCCGTAATCCCCATCAAGATGACCTCCACAATACAAGTGATTTCGCTCAGGCCAGCCTGAGCAAACGAAGAATCGCATAGGCCAAGGCGTGCCCAGCGCCAATTTTGAACTTGGTGTTGCATGAATGATTAAGGCCCAGTCCCTTGGGAAAGATAAACCGGATGTGAACTTCCTGTGAGACCATAGAGGTGGTTAAGGGCCTTCTGCTCTCCCTAGGGCCCCGCCCATTATTCCCAGCACACCCCGAAATCAAGTCCCCCATGAACTGTCCCCCACCTCCCTCTCTCCCTATTGTCTCCCTCCAGCCACAGAGGCCTCTTTGCTGTTCCTCTAATACGTTTGATGCAGTTGTACCCCAGAGCCTTTGCATGTGCCGTTGCTTGGATAGGAAGCATTCTTCTCTTTGTTGTCTCCAAGGCTGGTTTAGACTCTTCATCCAAGATGCTACAAAGCCGGGCGCTGCTGGCTCACGCCTGTCATCCTAGCTACTCAGGAGGCTGAGATTTGAGGATCACGATTCAAAGCCAGCCTGGGCAGGGAAGTGTGTGACATTCTTCTCCCTAATTAATCAGCAAAATGCCGGACGCGGCAGAAGGGGAGCTGTGGCTCAACACTAGCGTTGAGTCAAAAAGCTCAGGGATGGTTGCCCAGGCCCTGAGTTCAAGCCCCAAGTTGTGGGAGAAAAAATAGTGTTCTCTCCAGCCATCTAAGCTGATTATAAACGAGGATCCGTCACCGGAATATCAACAGGATGACACAGAGTTGGGAGGAGGTAATGCAGGAGCAGGAACAGCATTTGCGAAGGCCCTGAGGTAGGACAAGTTCAACCTGATAAATAGTTGCTGGCTAAATGAATGCTAGGTTATTCTAAAAGGAATTGATTGCATGGATACGACTCTGTGTGTGTGTGTGTGTGTGTGTGTGTGTGTGTGTGTGTGTGTGTGTGTGTGTGTGTCTGTGAGATGAAGCAGGGAAGGGAGGAGGGAGGCTAGGCAGCCTGGCGGGGTGTTGGCCCCCATCAGAGATGGGGTGCCCCCCTTGCAGAAGGAACGGCCTTCTATACATTGTGACTTGGGAATGGATAGCACCTCATCTCAGGACCCTGAACTTGTGTGGACCCCGAGATCCAGTGACTCTTCAGAGAGCCAAGTCCCTGAAAGTAGGGGAGAAGTCATGGCCGCGCCGAGACACCCCGGACTTTAGCCTTTGCCCGCTATGGGCTGGACCAGCAAGGAAACAGGGAGATAACGGTCCTCCCTCCCCTCCCTCCCCCAACAACTCAGCCCAACACTGTCCCATTGGCTCTCCTCCCTGTCCATCCGGACTAGCCACCAATCAGCAGCCAGGGGCTGGGCTTCAAGCTCCAGGGCACTATTTGAACATTTCTTGGGGAGGGGGCGGGCAGTGTTGACCAGGCATACAGAGAGAGAGAGAGAGACAGGACCAGAGAGTTGGGGAGCAGCGCGTTGGCCAAGTAGAGACCTCACAGCTGGAAGTGGGAACCCACTTCAGAACGGCCTGAAGCGCAGCTGGCTGGGCCCATTGGATGGGGGGTTAATAGCTAGAAAGGTGAGTCCTGTCTCAAGTTAAGGGGGCCTAGGAAACTGGTCCCCCCCAGATGCCAGGCTGGCGAGAAGATGCAGCCTGTGCTGTGGGTGGCAGGTCGGAGGCTGGGGAGGGGAGGCTGCGGGGGAGGCTGTCCCCCCCTCCGCTGTCCCTGGCCTGCCTGGGGTATGGGGTGATGATGAGCCAGACTGGACATTGCAAAAATGGGGGGCTCTAGGGAACCCCTGTCCAGGCCTCAAGGACACCGGCTGTCCACCCCCCCCCCGCTTTTCTTTTCATTCTGTGCCAGTGTTGGGGGTTGAACTCAGGGCCTGGGCGCTGTCTGTGAGCTTTTGTGCTCCAGGCTGGTGCTCTACCACTTGAGCCATGGCTCTACTTCTGGCTTTCTGGTGGTTCATTGGAGAGAAAAGTCTCATAGACTTTCCTGCCCTGGCTGGCTTTGAACCGTGATCCTCAGATCTCAGCCTCCCGAGTAGCTGGGATGACAGGCAGGAGCCACTGGTTCTGGGCTGGCTCCTTCCCATTGGGGATGCAGCCAGAGGCAGTGGCTGCCCAGCCGGGGCTGCGTGGGGACCGCTGGGAACTTGGGGGTCTGTGCGACCTCACCCCTACATGCTTCGCACCCCAGATGGCTTCCCCTACCTGTGCCATGGGCCCCATGGACAGCATCGAGCTCCTGGACCTGCTCTTTGACCGGCAGGATGGCATCCTGAGACATGTGGACCTGGGCGAGGACCAGGTGAGCCCCCCCCCTGCGCAAGCTGACAGCCACAGGGCCCCCCACTGGGCAAACTGGGAACACCAGAGGCTCTGCTGCCAACTCAGGGGCCTCTGTCAACGCAGGGCAGCTCTCAGTGCACCTCTGGAACAAAATGAACATCCACTTCCTTTTGCAAGTATGGGAAGCACCGTGTCAGAGAGGGCTAGACACTTTCCTAAGGCCACACAGCATTCTGTTCCCCTTGCCTCGGAGAGAGAAAGGACGCGTGGAGGCCCAGCCAGGACCGGAGGTGGGGTGGTGGTGTTTCACCCAGAATCCCACAGCAAGGCGGCGCTGAGCGGGGACTCCCTCTGCCCCCCCTGCAGGTGCTGCCAGGCGCAGACTCCGATGGCTTCCTGAACTGCTACCTGGGCCCTGGAGACTCAGCTCCCAGCTCCCCGACCTGGTCCCCCGCTGCCAGTGACAGTGGCATTTCTGAGGACCTGCCCTCTGACCCCCAGGACACCCCTCCCCACCGGGGGCCACCTCCCACGGCGGCGGGGGGCCCTCCCTCCGAGCCTGGCAAGGACCTCTGCCCTTCCTTTGTCCCCAGCCCGCCCTGTCCCCCAGCCAGGCAGCCGGGGACCCCGGTACTCGAGACCTCTGTGGCCATCGACCTGGGTGAGTTTGTGGCTGGTGGCACTCTCAGAGAGATCCATCCTGCCCCCCAGTGCAGTTCCCAGAATGGACATCAGAGGGCGCCCTCCAAGGCCCAGGGCTGATTTGCATAATCAAGAACAGTGACACTTGGGGCGGGGCCATCCCCTGCAGACTTCCTGCTGGGGCCCTCTTGGTGGGAGGCTCAGAGTGGTGAAGTCACTTACCAGAGGTCACACAGCTCCACCCAGGCAGGAGTAGAGCCCTCAAACCGACTCTGTGCAGAGTATCCCAAGGGCCAGAGTCAGGGGTGACTCACACCTGGTCCCTGCCCCATGGGGGAGATAAGACTTGGCTGAACTGTAATGCTGATGGCAGCAGGTCTGATCCTGACCGGCAGTGGGTCCCTGAACAGGGGCCTTCACCTTCTTTTTTTTTTTTTTTTGTTCCGGTTTTTTTTGAGTCTTGAACTCTGGGCCTGAGCACTGTCCCTCAGCTCTTCAGCTCAAGGCTAGTGCCTTACCACTTGAGCCACAGCGCCACTTCCGACTTTTTTTTTTCTTTTTGCTTATGTGGTGCTGAGGAATTGAACCCAGGGCCTCAGGCATGCAAGGCAAAGCACTCTACCACTGAGCCACCTTCCCAGCCCCGGCCTTCACCTTCTTTGTTGGTTTATTGATTGAACTCAGGGCCTTAGACTCGCTAGGCAGGTGATCTACCACTTCAGCCACACCTCCAATCCTTTTTGCTTGAAGTGTTTTTAAAAATTACATATTTAGAGCCGGGCGTGCTGGTGGCTCACGCCTGTAATCCTAGCTACTCAGGAGGCTGAGATCTGAGGATCGCGGTTCAAAGCCAGCCCGGGCAGGAGAGACCGTGAGACTCCTATCTCCAATAAACCACCAGAAAACCAGAAGTGGCACTGTAGCTCAAGTGGTAGAGCGCTCGCCTTGAGCTGAAGAGCTGAGGGACAGCGCCCAGGCCCAGAGTTCAGGCCCCACGACCAACAACAACAACAAAAAATTACATATTTAGCCGGGCGCCAGTGGCTCACACTTGTCATCCTAGCTACTCAGGAGGATGAGATCTGAGGACTGTGGTTCAAAGCCAGCCTGGGCAGGAAAGTCCCTGAGACTCTTATCTCCAATTAACCATCAGAAAACTGGAAGTGGCGCTGTGGCTGAAGTGGTATAGAGCACTTGCCTTGAGCTGAAGAGCTGAGGGACAGCGCCCAGGCCCAGAGTTCAAGCCCCACGACCGACAACAACAACAAAAAAATGCATTATCTATTAAGGTGGGATCACACCTGTCATCCCAGCTACTAGGGAAGCTGATCTCTGAGGATCCCAGTTCAAAGCCAGTAGGGGCAGCAGAGTCTGTGAAACTCTTATCTCCAATTAATCACAAAAATCCCCAGGAGTAGTGCTGTGGCTCAAGTGGTAGAGTGCAAGGCTTGAGCAAAAGTCAGGGACAGCGCCCTGGGACTGGCAACAAAATAAATAAAAATACAACTCCTGGGGCTGGGAAGGTGGCTCAGTGGTAGAGCGCTTGCCTTGCATGCTCAAGGCCCTGGGTTCGATTCCTCAGCCCCACATAAGCAAAAAGAAAAACGCCGGAAGTGGCGCTGTGGCTCAAGTGGTAGAGCGCTAGCCTTGAGCTGAAGAGCTGAGGGACAGCGCCCAGGCCCAGAGTTCAGGCCCCACGACCAGACCAAAAAAAAAATAAAAAGAAGTTCAGGGACAGCCCCCAGGCCCTGAGTTCAGGTACCAGGACCAGCCCCCCCCCACACAAATATGTTTTTGCCCTGGCTGGCCTTGAACCTCTACCTTCCCAATCTCAGCCTCCAGTGTCTCTGGGATTACAGGTGGGAGCCACTGTACCTGGCTTCTTGTGCTTTTTATACTTGATCTTAGCCAAAAGGCCGAGAAGCGATTTCTTGTGCTTTTTATAACAAGAGCTACGCCCAGCTGAGTTTGTAGGGGAGGAGGACAATGGGCCATGGGCACGGCTGGCTGCTCCTGCCCAGGCCTTGGGGGGGAGGGGCGTGGGCACTGGATGTCAGCCATATTGATGGGCTGGGGGTGGCCGGGGGGAGCTGAGGCCCCCCACTGCCTGACACCATCCCCATCCCTGCCTCCCCAGAACTGTGGAGCTCCGCAGGCACGTACACGGAGGAGCAGGCTGGCTCACCCTCCCGCTTCAGCCTCTCCGTGAAGCAACTCCTGCTGTCCAGCAGCGGCGGCGGGGACCCGGTGAGCAGCATCCGTGCCCCGACACCCCCCATTGCACAGCCTGGGTGCAGCTGGTAGAGGCTGAAGTCTATGCGGGGAAAGGGCTGTCCAGGGAGGGGACCAGGGGGCCAGGCAGAAGTGACAAAGTCCAGCCAGATGCCCCGGTTCACGCCTGTCATCCCAGATACTCAGGAGGCTGAGATCTTAGGATTCAGGTTCGAAGCCAGCCAGGGCAAGAACGTCCATGAGACTCTTGTCTCCAGCGAACCATCCAAAAGCCAGCAGTGGCGGTGTGGCTCAAGTGGTAGGGTGCTAGCCTTGAGCAAACCAACCAAACTACCTCAGGGACAGCACCCAGGCCCCGAGTTCAAGTCCCAGGACGGGCACAAAAATAAAAAATAAAAATAAAGGACTTTCCTATGGGGTTGTAGGGGACACAGGGCCAGAGCTCAGCAAGGATCTGTGTTCTGGAACTTCTCCATCGTCCTCTCCTCCCTTCCTCCCGCCCCCTTCCCCATCTTCTTCTTCTCTTCCGTTACCCGTTCCTTCCTTCTTCTCTCCCCTCACCCTCCTTTTAGTACACAATTTGTATTTCTTTTTTTTGTCAGTTGTGGGGCTTGAACTCAGGGCCTGGGCGCTGTCCCTCAGCTCTTCGGTTCAAGGAGAGCGCTCTACCACTTGAACCACAGCGCCACTTGTGGTTTTCTGGTGGTTCATTGGAGATAAGAGTCTCAGGGACTTTCCCCACCCAGGCTGGCTTTGAACCGTGATCCTCAGATCTCAGCCTCCTGAGTAGCTAGGATGACAGGCATGAGCCACCTGTGCCTGCCTCTGATCAGATCAGCTAGCCTTACTTCCCCTGCCCTGTTTTCTGGATGTTTCTCTCGCCTGTGCTGGCACATAGCCCTGGCACAGAGCAGATACTCTGAGAACGGTTGTCGAATGACTATTCGTGGAAGGCAGGAAACGAAACCCCCCTGTAGCCTCCCCTTTGTCCTCTGCGGGTAACTAAGGCTCAGTACCGGCTTGGTGAACAGTGCTGCTGGTCACTCTGGGTGAGGCTGTCACCTGGGGGGAGGGTTGCTGGGCTTCTCCCTCAATGGCTTTGGGTTTCCATAGCAACAGCATCACCTAGCAGCTGCCCACCTGCTGCGGCCTGGGACCGGGCACTGCCAGGAGCTGGTGCTGACTGAGGACGAGAAGAAACTGCTGGCCAAGGAAGGCATCACCCTGCCCACACAGCTGCCCCTCACCAAGGTGTGTGCCGGGGAGGTGGGGTTCAATACCTGTTAAATTACCCCCATAGAATCTTAGTCCAGCCTGTTAAAATTTTTTTTTAAAAAAAGGTCCGGCTCACGCCTGTCATCCTAGCTACTCAGGAGGCTGAGATCTAAAGATGGAGGTTCAAAGCCAGCCTGGGCAGGAAAGGCCAAGAGACTCTGATCAGCCACCAGAACACTGGAAGTGGCGCTGTGGCTCAAGTGGTAGAGCGCTCGCGTTGAGCTGAAGAGCTGAGGGACAGCGCCCAGGCCGAGTTCAAACCCCAGAACATCCAGAAGTACAACCTTAAATTCAACTCAGGCCCACGCTTGGTCTTGAACTGTGATCCTCTGGATGTCAGCCTCCTGAGTTCTAGGGCTTGAACTCAGGGCCCAGGCGCTGTCCCTGATCTTTTGTGCTCAAGCCTAGCAATCTGCAACCTGAGCCACCATACCACTTCCAGAATTTGGGTGATTCATTAGAGATAAGAGTCTCACGGACTTTCCTGCCTGGGCTGGCTTTGAACCGTGATCCTCAGATCTCAGCCTCCTGAGTAGCCAGGATGACAGGTGTGAGCCCCTGGCCAGAGTCTGGCAGGAACCTAGGCTTTTTTTTTTTGCCAGTCCTGGGGCTTGAACTCAAGGCCTGGGAGCTGTAGTCAGGCCCACTCTTGGAGACTCACCTCTTTCTGAGTATGAGGTGTCACTTAAGAATTCGGTAGCTGTGAGCCCCCGATTCCCACCCATCAGACTTTCTGAGCCTGCAGGGAGAGGTGCTGTTCTCAGACCCGACCACCAGGTGGAGCTGCAGCACCGGGGCCTCAACATCCGGGTGGAGGCAGCTGTGAAATTTTGGGGCCCCCTTAGTGTGGTTTCCTAGGGACCCTGCAAGAATGGAGGGAAAGCCAGCCAGCCCCCCTCTCTGTACCCCCCTCCACGCAGTATGAGGAGCGAGTGTTGAAGAAGGTCCGCCGGAAAATCCGTAACAAGCAGTCGGCCCAAGAAAGCAGGAGGAAGAAGAAAGAATATATCGATGGCTTGGAGACCCGGTGAGGCTGTGTGTGTGTGTGTGTGTGTGGGGGGGGTTGGTGTCACACTCCCAGGGGAAACTGAGGCACGCACCCGTGTTAACATCTCCCCGTTGCCCTTCCCCCCCCCCCCACCTCCCCAGGATGTCAGCCTGCACTGCCCAGAATCAGGAGCTGCACAGGAAAGTCCTGCACTTGGAGAAGCAGAACCTGTAAGTGGCCACCCGTCGGAGTGGGGACAGGGGAGACAGTTTGGTTTTTTTGGGGGGGGTCGGGAGGGGACTAGGGAGTAGCCACAGTATCTTTTAAGGAAGAAGGAGTAAAGGGCAGGGGCTACTGTGTTTTAGGTGAAGAGCAGAGAGCTGGACGGAGCAGGGAATAAGGGAATACACTTACAAAGGAGGCAGGCTGCATAGAAAGGGGCATTTGGGTTTGGGGCTTTGAGGGAATGCGTTAGAGTCTGCCAGGAAGAAGGTAAAAGTCAATGGGAGAGGGCAGGTGTCGTGGTAGAGGCTGGCAACAGGCTGTGCTGGAGACTTACACCTGCCTCTGCAGAGATTTCATCTGTGTTAATTTGACATCTGTTCTGGGCCACTAGGAGTGGAACTGGGAAGGAAGTGGACAGTCCCTCCATTGAGTTCAGGGTCCAGTAGCAGATGCACTGGGGAGGCACAGGGTTGTGTCTACAAGACCATGGGACAGGGCTGGGAAGGTGGCTCAGCGGTAGAGTGCTTGCCTTGCATGCATGAGGCCCTGGGTTCGATTCCTCAGCACCATATAAGCAGGAAAAGCTGGAGGTGGCGCTGTGGCTCAAGTGGTAGGGCTAGCTCTGAGCTGAAGAGCTGAGGGGCAGCGCCCAAGCCCAGAGTTCAGCTCCCACAACTGGCAAAAAAAAAAAAAAAAAAAAGACCATGGGACAGCGAGGGTCATTGTTGGAGCTGAGGCCTGAAGAGCCAGCTAGAAAAGTACATGGGGGAGGTGTTAAGCCTGTGCAAGGGCCCTGGGGCAGGGTGGAGCCTGGTGAGTGGGTGAAGGATGGAGAGGGAGGGGAAGGCAGGAAGGAGATGGGGTGGGGGTGGGGGTCCTGCCCGGGCCCTGCGGGCTGCAGGGAGGACTTGGGCTTTGGGAGAAGGGAGACCGGATGCCTGCTGAGGCAGCTTGGTGGCCTCTCATTGCTACCAGGTCTCTCTTGGAGCAGCTGAAGAAACTCCAGGCCCTCGTGGTCCAGTCCACCAGCAAGTCTGCGCAGACTGGCACCTGCATAGCGGTGAGCCCCAGGCCCCTGGCCCTCCCCTCCAGGAAGTGGGAGGCCCCTGGCCCTCCCCCCCCGGAAGTGGGGTCCTTCTCAAGCAGGGCTCCCCTGCTCCGTGGGGCCTCGTGGGAAGGTGGGGAGACCCGGGGAAGAGGGGGTGACCAGCTCCATCTCTGCAGGTCCTGCTCCTGTCCTTCGCCCTCATCGTCCTCCCCTCTGTCAGCCCCTTCGCCTCGGGCAAGGCCGAGAACCCCGGGGATTTCACACCCGTGCGTGGTAGGTGCCCGCGGTCCCCCAAGCAGCCTCCCCCCAGTGCCTGGGCCCTGTGCCCCAACCCTGCCTGCAGGGCCCCACTCCTCCCCACCCCACCTGACTCCCAACTCCTGCTCAGTCTTTTCCAGAACCTTGCACAACGATGCCGCCTCCAGGGTGGCCCCTGAGGCTCCGCCAGGCCCCGCCGAGGCCCCGGGACCCCGGGCTGACACCGGCGCACCCTGGAAAGCATCGCCAGGCAGCGGCCTGGGGCCAGCCTGGGGGGGCTTCCTGGACGTTCCGGGGCAGGGCACCCCGGTGGAGGAGCTGGACCACGCCACCGCCCTGGTCTTGAGCAACTCCACCGAGGGGCTGGGCCGGGCCACCCTGCTGGACTGGGCATCCCCCGACCCCAGGCTCAGCTCGGGGATCGCGGGGCTGGAGGCGGTGGGGGAGCTGTGAGCACCCCAGGATCGAGCCTCTACACCCCCATGCCCAGGGAGGCTCAGCAGCGGGCAGCAGCACCTCCTCTGACTGACCCTCAAGTAAGGAGCAGGGACCCACAAGGGCTGAGACTCAGCCCAGTCAGACAGGCACAGACAGACAGCCCCTGCCCCAGGCTCCCCAGTCACCACAGGAATCCGTGGATTCGGGGTGGTTGCAGCGCATGACCACCCCCTTTTTCTAAGATTCTGAATAAAGTGTTTTGCCAGAACACGCGGCTGTGGGGCGGAGCGGGGCTCGGGAGGTGGGCGTGGGGCTCAGGGGGTGGGGGACGGTGGGGTTCCAGCAACCCAGCAGCTTCAGCACCTTGGACAGCGGTGCTGGGCCCAGCAGAGGGAGCTGGACTGCAGGGAGGAAAAGGAGGAGGGGCTGCAAGGATTTCCATCCTGTGTCTTCCTGGGGGGGGGGGGGGGGAGATGCTGCTGCTGGGATGAGTAAACTGAGGCAGACAAGGTGATCTGCCCAGAGGCACAGTTGGGGACAGTGTGGGGGGGGGGCGGGGAAGATGCCAAGGCCCAGCTTCTGAAATCCTACCAGCTGGGCACCAGTGGCTCACTCCTGTAATCCTAGCTACTCAGGAGTCTGAGATTTGAGGATCACGGTTCAAAGCCAGCCTGGGCAGTAAAGGCCATGAGACTCTTATCTCTAATAAACCACTAGAAAACGGGAAGTGGCGCTGTGGCTCAAGCGGTAGAGCGCTTACCTTGAGCTGAAGAGCTGAGGGACAGCGCCCAGGCCCAGAGTTCAAGCCCCACAACCAACCAAAGAAAAAAAAAAAGAAAAAAGACAATAAAAAAAAAATCCTACCAATAAGGCCTGGGAAGGTGGCTCAGTGGTAGAGTGCTTGCCTCACATGCATGAGGCCCTGGGTTCGATTCCTCATCACATACACAGGAAAAGCTGGAAGTGGTGCTGTGACTCAAGTGGTAGAGCACTTGCCTTGAGCTGATGGCTGAGGGACAGCGCCCAGGCCCTGAGTTCAAGCCCAGGCCAGATGGCTGCAGGCCCCTGCCCAGCGTGGGGTGCCTGTTCCACCTGCACATCGGGAGGGGACCCACAGTTGTGCAGTAAAAGAATCCTGATTTATTGCATTGCAGACTTGCCATGGGGCCCCACACCCTCCTGTCTCCCCCGTGTGTCCCCCCTCCTAGGCTGAGGAGGAGCTATGGAGCCTGCCTGCGGGCATCCTCACCCCCCAATGCCCACAGCGTCCTGAGTCAGAGGCTGGGGTACACCAGGGCCCTGGCGCCCAGGGGAGGTGAGGCTGGGGGCCGGAGCCTAGCTCAGCCCCCCAAGGGCCCCAGAGGCCAGACACATGGCCACACCTACCACATCAACAGAGTAGAAAAGAGCCAGTCTGTGGTTTCTACAAAAGCCCCCTCCCACCCCCACCACACCCTGGTCAGCTGGGAGCGGCCTCCGCCTTCACCCTTTTGGAGGGCCAGTGGGGGACAGGGCTGTCTGGCCTCTCTCTCTTGGGGTGCCAGTCGCAGGGCTCCTCCTTGGGGCTCGGGGGGCGTGGCAGAGGTGGCAGGGCCCTGTCCAGCACGCGGGGGCCGTCCCAGGGCGGGATCTGGAGGCCCAGGTGCTTCATGAGCTGTGTCATGACGTCGTCGACGTAGCCGTGGATGCGCAGGTCGGCGTGGCGGTCCTGGGGTGGAGGGGGGGGCGTTCATGCTCAGGTGTGGGGAGGGGCAGGGTGCACGGGAGGGGGGGCTGGGGTAGGGGCGGAACGCAGCACCTACGTGCTTGGTGGGCTGCAGGTTCACGATGACTAGCCGGCCTCCGCGGCGTTTGGTGGCCAGGGGCAGGTTCCCGCTGGGCCGGATTTGCAAGGAGGTCCCCAGGGTGATGGACAGGTCAGCGTTCCTGGGGACGGGCAGCGGAGAGCCACGGGGAGCGGGGTTCAGTCCCATGACAGCCTCCCCTTCCCCAGAGCCCAGCTGTACACCTGTGCACCCACTCACCAGGCCCTAGAGACACGCAGCCCGTGTTTCCCTGGGTCTCCCGCTGACCCCATGTGGCACAGAGCCAGACCGGGGAGGGGAGGGGGGTAGAGGTTCTTTGCTAAGGCCTCAGTTTCCCCACTTAGGCCTCCCTCAGGAGGCCTTCCAGACTTCTCCTTGTCCTGTGTGTATGGGGGGCTGTGCATTTCTGCTTGGTTCCCACGCTTGCCCCCCACTTTTGAGTGTACTGGGGGGGGGGGTCACACCTGCTGGCCTCGTCGGCAAGAGCCAGGTCCCGGTCCGGCAGAGAATCCTCCCAGTCCAGGATGGTGTCTCTCAGCTCTCCCCTGCGGACCGAGGTTGAGGGGTCAGCCGAGTGGCCAGGCCCGAGGTGGGGGGGGGCGTGGGGAGGGGCGCTCACCTGCAGGCCCGCAGCCCCCTTGCTTTGGCCACAGTGCAGAGCCGGCCCGTGGCCTTGAGGCCCATAGTGCCCACGACCGTTTCCCGAACATACTGCCTGAGGAGGGAAGGCAAGCCGTCAGCCTGTGGGACTCTGATCTCCAGCTAGCCAGCAACAAACCAGAAGTGGAGCTGTGGCTCAAGCAGTAGAGCGCCAGCTGAGCAGATGAGCTGAGTGGCCAAGCCCCAACCCTTGGGTCACATCTGGCCCTCTCCTTGTGCATTATTTATAAAGTTTTATTGGTGCAGAGCAGCCTTGTTGATGTATGTGTTGTCTATGGAGGTTTTCACGGGCCTGAAAAACCTGACTCTGGTCCTTATACACAGAACGTCGGCTGGCCATGGCCTGGTGGAGGGGAAGCATGAGCTGATGGTTCTTGTGATTTTTCCATAGGTTGGAAAGAGAAAAATGATAAGAAAACCATGTGGTCCCACCTGTACGCTGGTCTGGAAGACCTCACGTGAAGCCCCACCCCCTGGCAGGTGTTCACATCTGGGGCCCTCACAGAAGGGGGGGGCTGTCCCACAATGTTGTTTGTTAAATTATGCCCCCCCCCACAAAGCACAGTAGAAGTTTTCAACCCTAGTAACTCCAAGGTGGCTTGATTGAGAGATGCAGTCATAGTGCTGTGCCTAGCCAACTCAGTGCAAGTGTGGTGGGTCACACCTGCAATCCCAGCTACTGAAAAGTCAGAGATGGGAGGGTCAAGATTCAAGATCAGCCTAGGCAAAGAGTTAGTGAGCCACCCTCCCCCTCATCTCAACCATCCATTTGGCATGGTGGTGCACACCTGGAGGTATAAATAGGAGGATCCAGGTCCAGGCTGCGCCAGGCAGACAAATAAGACCCTACCTGAAAAACACCTAAAGCAAAAAGAACAGAGGGCGTGGCTGGAGAGCACAGCATCTGCCCGGCAAACACAAGGCTCTGAGTTCAAATCTCTGTATCAACCATCCTCCCTCACACATAAGAGGGAGAAAAACAATGTCGGAGACACAGGGAAGGTGGCCACAGGACAATGAAACAGGCTGCAGGGTTGGGCCACCGTCCACAGCCACAGGCCCCGCCCACCACAGGGCCCGCCCACAACCGCAGGCCACACCAGAGCCCTCACACAGGAGTCCCCGCCCACAAAGAGCCCCACCCACACCACGCCCACACGGCACGCCCTACCCTAGCCCTCACACAGGAGTCCCCGCCCACAATCACAAGCCCCGCCCACTACGAACAAAACTGCCCTTGTCACAAGTAAACCTCCGCAACCACGCCCACTCACAGAGCCCCGCCCACCGCCCCAGGCCCCGCCCAGGACCGCAGGCCCTTCCCACACAGGTCCCACTCACACCCCAGGCCCCGCCTACGCTCAGTCCCCACCCACACTCCTGGTTCCACCCATAATCGCAGGCCACGCCCCCACCCCTGGACCCTCCTACCCAGGGTTCCCCGCCCCATGATCACACTCAGGGCTCCACCCGCACTCACGTCTTGCACTTGGTGCACTCTTCAACAAACATGTTCCCATGAAGCTCTGCCAGCTTGTCCCTGTGGGAGGAGAAGAGGTTGGGGGCCCCCTCCCTGGATCCCCAGGTTGTGAGCCTGGTTCTGAGCTCTCTCCCTCCAGAAGGCCTTCTCTGGCCTTCTTATCTACAACACCCACGGACCTCCTCTCCAGCGGGGGCAGCCGCCAGCTGTCCCACCCACGGGCTGTGCGTCCCTGGGCGGGTGGCCTAACCGCTCTGAAACGGAGGAGCCATTCACCCACGGCTGCCATTCTTGTCACAGTGCCAGCCCTCTCCACAGGCGGGCGCTGTGTGACCGTGTGCACACTTAGCCTCTCTAGGTGCGTCTCAGTCCCTAGGTTTGAACAGAACACTAAGTCTGGAGGTATTTCTGGGAAATCCTACACCAAGCCTGAGGAGCTCTTTCCTATTGCTCCCAACCTCACCTCCAGCATGTCCCCCCTCTGGGGCCATCCCATGGCCCAATCCTTTCAGACCTTCCTATTCAAAGCCACGACTTCCCTTCTAGTTCCTTGGCATTATTTCCAATCAACCAGGCTGGAGACATGGCTCAAGTGGTAGACCGCCAGACAACAGCTCAAGCAAGCCAAGGCAGGGTGAGGCCTTGAGTTCAAATCCTGGTGGGTAGGGCAGGGCTGGCTGGGTAGTGGTTGGAGGGTTACCGGGGGAAGCCGGAGCGCACGTGCAGCCCGTCCACGTTCTGGCTGACGAGAAAGTTCAGGAAGCCCACACGCTGCAGCTGCACCAGGGCCATGTGTGTCCTGGTGGGCCTCGCGCTCTCAAAGGTGGTATCGAACTTGGGGGCCAGGCCCCTCTCCTCCATGGTCCACACGCCGTGGGGGCCTCTGGGGGGAGCAGCAGGTGGGGAGAAGCCGGGGCAGGGAGAATTCGAGGACACAGGGTGAGAGGGAGACGGGAAAAGAAAGTAAGAATCAGTGATGGAGGAAGGCAGAGGATAAAGGGAGAGATCCAGGCCGACGCTTCGGGTCACGTTGAACTGTGTGGCAGTGGGGAGCCCTAGCACGTTCCAGGAGGAGGCTGCGTGGGGGAGAATTTTAACATTTCTCCTTCAAAGAGGAATCTCACACTGGGTGTCCCTGGGCTGGTGGGCAAGAGGCCTCAGGAAGAGAGAGGAATGCAATTTTGTTGTGCAGTGGTGCACAGCTATCTGTAGCAGGGACCCCAGGAAAAAGTCTCCTTTCCTATGATGATAAAACCCCCAGTGTGGTGGCTAGGCGTATTCATGTAAAGACCGTATTTCCCCGCATCCCTTGCAGCTAGCTGTGGTCAGGTGATCAGGTTTTGGACACTGGAGTGGGATAGAATGCTGGGGACACAGCTTTGTTCCTCTTTTCCAGGACCCAGGAGGAAGATAGCGGGACAGGCTTGCAAATAACCCTAAAGACTACATTTCCCAGCACACTTTGCAGTCAACTCTGGGCACCTGAAGAGGTTCTAGCCAATGAAGGAGGGCCAAATGCTGGCTGGGATTATAAAGGACTTTTGGGAAACAGACGGCTCCTCTCCCCCCTTCCCAGTATCCAACAGGAACACAGCAGGATGGGCTTCCCAGACTGGGTGTGTCTGTTGATCCCCAGGAAGTCCCTGGTGGTACATCAGGCCTTGCCTCAATTTCCCTTCCCCAGCCCAGAGACCTGAAGTCAGGGATGCCGGAGGCGGTGCTGATGCCGGCGCCCGTGTGGAACACCACATTGGAGGATTGCCGGACCAGCCGCGCCAGCTCCCACACCTTGCGCTCCAACTCCTCCGGGGGGTCAAAGATCTGTGGGGTGAGAGAACAGAAGGGGCCTAGTCCCGATGTGTTCCCCAGGGCCACGGGCGGAAGCCACATGGGCCCACCTTGTGCAAGGGAGGAGATGAACTGCACAGGGTGGCTTGTCAGCCTGGTCCCCCTCAGCCCACAGCCCTCCATAGTGACTACCTCCCTCAGGGTCAAAGCCCCAGCCCTCCTGGCAGCCACTGGGCCCTGCACACCCTCCCCAGCCCCTCCTTGCCTCTTCCATTCACTCTGCTCCTTTCAGGTGCCAGCCTCCCTTCCGCCCCAGGGCCTTTGCACAGGATGCTTTCTCCCATAGACACCTGCATGGCTCCCTGACTCTTTTAGGTTTGGATTCCAATATTGTCTTTGCTGGTGCCCCCAAACTCCTCCTTTCAATGGACCTCTTAGGTCTCTGCCATTTGAATGTGTGTGGGTGTGTGTGTGTAATTCATATGCAGCAGATGTTTGTAAATCAGCTGGATGTGGGTGGCTCACACCTGTTATCTTAGTTACTCAGGAGGCTGAGATCTGAGGAACAAGGTTTGAAGCCAGCCCCGGGCAGAAAAATCCGTAAGACTCTTACCTCCACTGAACTACTCAGAAAAAGTTGCAAGTGGTGCTGTGGCTCAAGTGGTAGAGTGAGCGCTAGCCTTGAGCACAAAGAGGCTCAGGGACAGCGCCCAGGCCCTGAGTTCAAGCCCCAGGATGAACTCCCCCCCCCCCCCCCCCCCCCCCGTCCCCTCCAAAAGCATGTTTGTGAACGAAGCGAATGGGGGAAGAGGGATTCACGCCTCAAACCGACTGGACAGAGCCTGGGTGCTGGTGGCCCACGGCTACTGAGTACTCAGGAGGTCGAGATCTGAGGCTGGAGGTTCGAAGTCAGCCTGGGCAGGGCAGCGGGTGAGACTCATCTCCCTAAGGCCGAGCCGTGGCGCTGCGGCGTCCGGGGAGAGCTCTAACCCTTGGGTGGAAATTGCTGAGGGGCCGAGCCCGGGCCCGGGCTTCAAGCCCCCGACTTGCAGGAGGCAGGCGGCCCCCCGCCGCCCCCAGGTTGCAGATGGAGCCCCCCCATGCCACTTCCCCCTCCGGATGGCGGCGGGTCCAGCCCGGGGCGGGCCTCCCCCGCCCGCAGGGCCCACCCCGCACCCCGGCACGCTCACCTCTGGCAGCCCACACTTCCCCTTATCCGCGTACGGCGACAGCCCGGCCGCATAGTTCACCGACATCGCCGCCGCCCCGAAAGGGGAACAATAAAGTTTCCCCTTGTTGCGGCCGCTTCCGCCGGAAGTAGGGGCGGGACGCTGTGGGAAGGTGGAGCCCGCGGCCTGCCGTGCCGCATGCGCGCTTGCCTGGGCGACGCCTCGTGCGCCATCTTAAGTGTTGGCAGAGCCCGGCTGCTTTGCTTGATCCTGTGTTTCTGGGACCTGGAAGAGGGATAACCATGGGGATCCGGGCGGGCGGGAAAAAAAAAAAAGTGGGCGGCCACGCGTGTGAGAGTTCTTCAGCCATCTGGAAACTTTATGGGGATTATGCCACGTAGCGGGGACCCAGAACCCCAATACATGGAGAGTGTTGAAGAACACAGTTCTCTGATCCGTCTAGGGAAACTGCTGGAGGGCACTGAGGCTTCCTTTTAAGAAGCCTGTGTGAGCTGCCATTTTATTAACTACTTGGGAGGTGGAGATTGGTCAGATCGAGGCTCTAGGCCAGGCCAGGCAAGAAAATTAGGGGGAACCCCACCCCATCTCAACCAATGGCTAGGTGCGGTAGAGCACACCTGTCATCCTGGCTATGCGGAGACGTCTAAAGTGGGCAGACAGAGTCCAGACCAGCGTTTAGGCGGGAAGTGAGACCCCCGTCCTGATCATAACCAAGAGCTGAGGGCGCGGGTTAGCAGTGCAGCGCCGACCTAGCAAGCACCGGGAACGTAAGCAACGTGCCCAGGCCCTCCTGTGTGCTGGAAAACAGTGCGATCGGGGTTCCGTGGGGGGCACAAAGGGCGACGCGGGGGAGGGGGTCGTCGGGGAGGACCCTGGCTCGGGCTGTGCTCATCCTGGAAGGCCTCCTGGAGGAAGGGGCCAGAGCCAAGATGGAAAGAGGCGGTCAGAACGCGGGGGAGGAAGGAGCTGGTTTCCCGGGGAGGCGGGTGGGGAGGAGGGGAGCCAGGAGGAAGGCAGAGCTGGGCTCTATCCAGACCGTGAAATCCGTCCAGAGATGAGAGGAAGACTCCAAGCGAACCCCACGCCTCCCCCGGGGCCTACCGGCCCAGGGCAGCCGCTGCCAGCCTGTCTCCTCCCCCGGCTCCTCCCGGCCCCCTGGGGCGGCCGCCCGCCGGCCTGCCCACAGCTGATCGGGTGTCAGCGCTGGGCGCTGGGAGCCGCTGGTGCGAGGGTGCCGGTAACTGGAGCCTGTGTCGTGGGCGCAAGGGCCGGTGCTGCGGGAGGTAGGAGGCCGGGCGGAGGGAGGCCGGGGTGGGGGCTTCCCCCGGGCTGGCACGAAGGGCGCACACACTGCTGGGCCCCAGGGTGCGGGGACCCCCGGACACATGCTCCCCCGCTGCCCACACCCCGGCCCTTCTTCCTGTGTGCGCCACCCACCTCCCCCTGCCCTGCGCTCCACCCCACCCCTGCCACCTCCAGGAAGCGGAACACCCCCACCCCAGTCTCACTGAGGTCCCTCCTGCCCAGAACACTGGGGGCTGCCCTCACCAGTGTCTTCCTGCACTGCCTTGGGTGTGATTGAGCCGCCAGGGAGGGGTGGAAGAGAAAGTGGGGTGGGAGGATGGTGGGAGAAATGGGTGGGTAGATGGATGGATGTGTGAATGGATTGATGAATAGATGGATGGGTGGATGGATGGATGGTTAGTGGGTAGATGGCTGGATGAGTGGGTAGGTGGGTGGGTGGTGGGTGAATGGGAGGGTGGGTGGATGGATGGTGGAGGGGTGGCTGGAAAGGTGGGTGGATGAGTGGATGGATGGCAGATGGGTGGGTGGATAGATGGGAGATGGACAGATGGGTGGGTGGATGGATGGATGGATAGATGGGTGGGTGAGTGGATGGATGGATGGATAGATGGGTGGGTGAGTGGATGGATGGATAGATGAGTGGGTGGATGGATGGGTGTGTGGGTGGATGGGTGGGTGTGTGGGTGGATGGGTGTGTGAGTGGATGGGAAGGTGGGTGGATGGGTGGAGGGGTGGATGGATGGGTAGATGAGTGGGTGGATGGATGGATGGGTAGGTGAGTGGATAAGAGGGTGGGTGGATGAGTGGATGGATGGATGGGTAGATGGGTGAGTGGATGGGAAGGTGGGTGGATGGGTGGATGGATGGATGGATGGGTAGATGGGTGGGTAGATGGGTGGATGGATGGATGGATGGGTAGATGGGTGGGTGAATGGATGGGTAGGTGAATGGATGAGAGGGTGGGTGGATGGGTGGGGGTGGATGGTGGATGGATGGGTGGATGGTGGATGGATGGATGGGTGGATAGATGGGTGGGTAGATGAGTGGATGGGAGGGTGGGTGGATGGGTGGGGGTGCATGGAAGGGTAAATGAGTGGATGGGTGGATGGTGGATGGTGGATGGATGGATGGGTAGATGGGTGGGTGGATGGATGGGTGGGTAGATGAGTGAATGGGAGGGTGAGTGGATGGATGAGTAGATGAGTAGATGGGTCGGGGATGAGTAGATGGGTGGGTGGGTAGATGAGTGGATGGGTGGGTGGATGGTGGATGGGTGGGTGGAAGGAGGGGTGGGTAGATTAGTGAATGGGAGGGTGAGTGGATGGATGGGTAGATGAGTAGATGGGTTGCTGGGTGGATGGTGGATGGATGGGTGGATGGATGAGTGGGTGGGAGGGAGGGTGGATGGGTGAGTGAATGGGTGTGGGTGGATGGGTAGGTGAGTGGGTGGGAGGGTGGGCAGGTGGTCTGGAGGTGGTATGTGGACACTGGTGTATATGGAATTGGTGGTGGTGGCTGTGGGGTAGGGACTGGAAGCACAGGTGAATCGGGGAGAGGAAGGTGGCGAGGAGGTCTCCGGGTGGTGGACAGGTGGGAGCGAGGCCCCTCCCCCTGGTGGGTGGAGGCGGCGCCCCCCACCCCAGGCCTGTCGCTCCAGGGCCGCTCTCCCTACCCGCCACACCCACAGGTGCAGGGCAGGCAGCACAGCCCGTGTGAGAGGGTGTGCGCTTGGCTTCCCGAGTGAACACGCAGCTGCCCACACATCCCCCCGGGCAGGAAATGCGCTCTCCCCCAGAGGCCACGCACAGTGGTGGCCATGTTCTCTCCGAAGACTCAACAGACACCTGCACAGGGGCCTGGTAACCACGAAGCCCCGATTATAGAAGAAAGCAGAGCGCTGGTGGCTCTCGTCTGTCATCCTGGCTACTCAGGGGGCTGAGATCTGAGGATGGAGGCTCAAAGCCAGACGGGCGGGATAGTCCAGAAGTGGCGCTGTGGCTCAAGTGGCAGAGCTGAAGAGCTGAGGGACCGTGCCTAGGCCCAGAGTTCAAGCCCCATGACTGAAAGAGAAGAAGGAGAAGAAGAAGAAGAGGAGGAAGAGGAAGAAGAAGGAGGAGGAGGAGGAGGAGGAGGAGGAGGAAGAGGAGGAAGAAGAGGAAGAAGAAGAGGAAGAGGAAGAAGTAGTAGTAAACAGAGCCATCTTGTACTGTCCCAGCACAGGAGCAGGGTGTGAGTCGGTGGCTAGGGGAGAGATGAATAAGGAGCACCAGGCCTGGAATTTAGGAACTGGGTTGTGAAGGATGAATAGGAGTTCACCAGGGAAGAGTGCGTTTGTGTGTGTGTGTGTGTGTGTGTGTGTCTGTGTGTGCGCGTGCACACACACACTGATATTGGGGCTTGAACCCACAGCCCGGGTGCTGTCCCTGAGCTTTTCCCTTCAAGGTTGGCACATTACCACTTGAGCCACACAGTCCACTTCAGGTTGTTTTTTGGTTTTTTTTGGGGGGGGTCCAGTTGTGGGGCCTGAACTCTGGCCCTGGGCGCTGTCCCTCAGCTCTTCAGCTCAAGGCTAGCGCTCTACCACTTGAGCCACAGCGTCAGTTCTGGCTTTTTTTCTTTTTGCTTATGTGGTGCTGAGGAATCGAACCCAGGGCCTCAGGCATGCAAGGCAAGCGCTCTACCACTGAGCCACCTTCCCAGCCCCCACTTCGGGTTGTTTATTGGTGTTTCACTGCTGATAGGAGTCTCACAGCCAATTCTGCCCAGGCCGGCTTTGAACCTCGACCCTCAGCTCTCAGCCTCCCCGGTTGCCAGGATGACAGGCGAGAGCCACCAGGGCCTGGCAGACATGATTTAAGGCATTAAGTGGTGCTCATCACACCGATTCAAAGTCTGCAGCCCCGTGAGATCCGCGTGGCAGCTGGAGACGCGGGCGAGGTGCATTTCTCCAGTGCCTCCTGTTGACAGGCCTGTACGACCAGAGGCTGCACTGAAAACAGACTGCAACTTGGTCGAGAAAGAACCAGCCTCCCCTCCATTTTCTAGATGAGGGAGGGCAGGCTGCCCTCCAGAGGCCACGCAGCGGGTGGGAGGGGCAGGGGGTGGCTTGTGCCCTGCCCCAGGGAGGAGGGGCAGGAGGGAGGCAGCCGATGGCCTCACCGACCAGCCAGGGTGTCAATCCCCTCTCCTCCATCCCCTCACAGGTGCCCTGGGGTCTGGAGAAACACCAAGCCCTCCCAGCTATGAAGACCCTCAGGGCGCGATTTAAGAAGACAGAGGTGAGTCTCGGGTCACTGAGGGGCACCGGGCTCTGGCCAGTGCCTTCCCCGCCCCCCCACTCCCCAACTCTCACCAGATTTAACTACTGGCAACTTTGAAAGGAGCAAGTGGCCTCTGCTCCCCACCCCTAACTCTCTGCTGCCCTCTGCTGGCCGCCACCTGTCCTGACACAGCCTTTTGGCCACGCAGCCTTTGATCCCAGGGTCTCCTCATCCTGAAGAACCACGAGTTTCCTCCTCTTCTCTCCCTCCTCAACCCCCCCACCCCCCGCCCCTCCTCCAAGGTCGACTGTAGTCACAGCTCTCCAGACAATCTCTGCCCTTCTAGCCATACCTAAGAAGACTCGATCCTTCCCCTCCCTCCTTTTCTTTTCTTTCCTTCCAGTCCTGGGATTTGAGCTCCAGGCCTGAGTGCTATCCCCTGAGCTGGCTCTTGGCTGGTTCCGTAGAGACTAGGGTCTCACGTGGACTTTCTGGCCTGGCTTTGAGTCTCAAGCCTCAGATCACAGCTTCCTGAGTAGCAGGGATTACAGGCGGGAGCCACCAGCGCCTCTCACTCTCTGAGAGTCTGAGGTGATGAAGGGAGGCTCAGAGAGGCTCAGGAAGTTGCCCAAGGCCATACAGCTGCCTTGGGGGTGGGATGACGGTAGAAATGAGAAAGGACGGTGGAGAGAGGGCGGGAGAGGAGAGAGAGAGAGGAGGGGAGACAGAGACCCACAGAAGAGGGAGAGGAGAAACTGGAATACATGTCTACAAGATGGGGTGTGTGGGGTGTCTCCCAGGAATGACCCCCCAACATTTCCCAGGCCCGGAAGGAAACGCTTTGCAACAGAATGCCGGTGCAGTCGCTTTTGCAAGGAGAATTCTATTTAAGTCAAGCCTGGCAAAGCCGAAGCGCTGCTGCGCCTGAGACCCGCAGTTCTGACACGAGTTCAAAGTCAGGCTGGGGACAGAGAGGGGCTGGCTCAGCAGGAGGCCTGGCCTCTGTCCACCCCCCTCCCTTTCCCTTCCCTGCCCTTCTCGGGTTTCCAAGCCTCCGCCAGAGTCAGGTTCAGCTTTTGTACAGCGGCCCCGAGGGAAGAAAGCCAACACCTGGGCCTCTGCGTCCCGGGCTGCGGCCACCATGGCGCCTGTGTGGAGCCCCAGGACCACCAGGTGGGGCTGGTGAGCAGCCGGCCGGCCCGCCGTGACCATCCGGCTCCACCAGGTGGCGGAGGTGAGCCAGGTGTCCCGACTGCAGTGCGCCGCAATCTCCACGAGGCGGCGCAGATGAGCGGCGGGACTGCGGCCTGCCTCATCCGCAAAGATGGGCCCACCTGTCGGGGGTACAGACCCTTTGCACTTGGTTCAGATGTCAGAACATCCCCACCGGTGGGTGGGCCGCGCCTTGTCGCGTTTGGGAAACTTCAAGGAAAGCCTGTGTGTCTGTACATCTGTGGTGTGTCTACCTCTTCCTTTTTAATTAATTAGTCAATTGATTAACTTTTAACAGTGAATGAGCTACAGGTTAGTGCTCACCACTGAACAACATCCCAGTCTCTAAAGTTCTTAACAACTAGCTGGGCGCTGGTGGCACATGCCTGTAATCCTAGCTACTCAGGAGGCTGAGATCTGCGGATCGCGGTTCAAAGCCAGCCCGGGCAGGAGAGACCATGAGACTCTTATCTCCAATGAACCACCAGAAAAAATGGGAAGTGGTGCTGTAGCTCAAGTGGTAGAGCGCTCGCCTTGAGCTGAAGAGCTGAGGGACAGCACCCAGGCCCAGAGTTCAAGCCCCATGACCGACCAAAAAAAAAAAAAAAAAAAAAGTTCTTAACAACTGCCTGGCAACGTTAGCTCACAACTGGAATCATGGCCTCTCGGGAAAGGCTGAGGTCTGGAGGACTGAGGCTTAAAATCAAGCCCAGGCAGAAAAATCCAAGAGAGACTCCGTTTCAATGAGCCAGCAAAACAGTCAGACTAGATGCCCTGTTCAAATGGTAGAGTGCCAGCCAAGCTGGAAGGCTCTCATCCTGGTATTGCTGAAAACAAAATGAAATTCGGCCGGGGGGGGGGGGGGGAAGGGAGAGAGAAGGAGAGAGAGTGTGTGTGTGTATGTGTGTGTGTGTGTGTGTGTGTGTGTCCTGGGGTTTGAACTGGAGGCCTGTGAGCTGTCTCTGGGCATTGTTGCTCAAGGCCAGCACTCTATGACTTGAACCACAACTCCACCACCAGCATTTTTGTGGTTCATTGGAGATAAGAGTCTCACATACTTTCCTGCCAGAGCTGCCTTTGAACTGCGACCCTGAGATTTCAGCCTCCTGAGTAGCTAGGATGACAGGTGTGAGCCACCAGTGCTGTGCTTCAAAAACAAATGAACAGGGCTGGGAAGGTGGCTCAGTGGTAGAGCACTTGCCTTGCATGCATGAGGCCCTGGGTTCGATTCCTCAGCACCACATAGGCAGAAAAAGCCAGAAGTGGCTCTGTGGCTCAAATGGTAGAGCGCTAGCCTTGAGCTGAAGAGCTGAGGGACAGCGCCCAGGCCCAGAGTTCAGGCCCCACGACCAACAACAACAACAAAAAGAATGATTGTGGTCAAGGGGTCTGAGCACTTGCCTAACCTACAGAAGGCCATGGCTTCTCTCCAGCAGTGGAAAATGAAGACAAACAAGACAGAGGGGGAGAGAGACAGAGAGCCTGAAAGAGAGGGAGAGACAGGAAGAAAGGAGGGGAGGGCAGGAGGCAATCTCTAGCTATCCAGGCAGCATGGACGGGACTGAGGGACTCCGCCGGGACCTCAAGACCCCGTTCTGCCCAATGGGAGGGAGGTTCCATAGGCCCCGGCAACCTGAGCACCCGACAGGGAGGCTTGGGGTCAGCGTGGCTCTATCAAGAGGGGACAGACACACGTGGGCGGGGGGGGGGGGGGGGGGTGAGGGGGGAAGCGGGGGGGGGGGGGGGGGGCAGAGGCTGGGTTAGCGCACAGGCAGAATGCGTTCCTCACAAAGGGCCAGGCTGCAGATATTTTTGGTTTTGGGGCCAGGCGGCGTCATCTTCCCATTTCAGCTGTGGAGATCAGTCGCCCAGTGATCCCCGGCCATGGGGCCAGGCTGTGACCCCGCCGGGCTTCCTGGGTGGGCGGAAATGACAATTCCCGCTCGGCTTGCACACCTCTCAAAGCGCTCTTTCCTTCCTCACCTTGCTCGCAGCCATTCTTAGCTCTTGGGCTGGGCCAAGGCAGGTGGCGGGTCGTGGAGAACCAGGTTCATTATGGTGAGTTGAGTCCCTGGAAATGGAGTGAGCGGACATGGGCCAAGGGCAGAGGGGGGCCTCAAGGGGGCCCAAGTCCTGCCAGGGGGCCGTGGGGACAGGCAAGGTGACTTCTGTGGGAGGGCAGAGAGACATCTGTATGGGGCTTGGAGTGACTTGAGCCCCTGGAGGCCAGCACCGGCCATGGTGGGCTCACAGCTGGTGGGTTTGGTGGGTTTGGTGTGAGCCCCATGGCCTCCCTGGGGGACAGGGTTGGGGGGCAGTGGCAAATCTGAGGCCTGAGCTGAGAGTTTGTAGGTGAGCACCCAGCAAAGGCCCAGCACCCCCCCCCAACACACACACAAAGAACAAACAACCTAGCCCCCATATCCACAGTGTCCCGGGGGAGACCCTGCAGTACCTAAACCATCACCCCAACTGGAATTTTACCCTCAGTTCCCAGAGGAGGAAACGATGGCTCAGAGAGGGCCTGTGACCTGCCCAAGCTCACACAGCAAGGTGGGGTTTCTTAGTGCAGAATCACCAGGCTCTCTGATGGTGACCCATCATGATGTAGCCCTGAGCCCCTCCCTTTGCTTGTGGTGGGGTGTCTGATCATACCCCAATGTCTACCTTTTCATGGATCCCTCACTTCTCACCGATTCCTGTTTTGTCTCCCTTGGGACCTGGCTCGATCTCTGCTCAGGTCCTCCCCCACCCCACCAATCCTGGTGTCCCTGTCCCCAGGACTCCTCCCACAGTGCTCCCATAGGCAACAAATCCAGAGGCAAGGAGTTTTGTTTCATTTGTCGGTCATGGGGCTTGAGCTCAGGGCTTTGCACTTGCTGGGCTTTTTTTCCCTCCCTCCCTCCCTCCCTCCCTCCCTCCCTTCCTTCCTTCCTTCCTTCCTTCCTTCCTTCCTTCCTTCCTTCCTTCCTTCTGTTGTTGTTGGTCCTGAAACTTGAACTCAGGGCCTGGGCACTGTCCCTGAGTTCTTTCGCTCAAGGCTAGTGCTCTACCACACGGAGCCGCAGCTCCACTTCTGGTTTTTAGGTGGTGAATTGATGGGATGAATGCGTGAGTGAATAAATGGACCTAGGAGTGGATGAGAGAATGAAGGTATGAATGAGAAATGAATGGGGTGAGCGAATGAATGAATGAGGGAGTGAGGGAATGCAAAAAGTACTGAAAGGCTGCATCGGTGGAGGTCCCCACTTGCAGCCAGCTGCACCCCAGGCCTGCAGGACGACGAGGAGATGGAGGAGGCAGAGATGGATCCCGAGCCTGTGAGGGGCGGCGCCCCCACTCCCCCCCACCCCGTCCCCTCACCCGGCAGGGCAGCGGCCCCGCCCAGCTCCACGCAAGAGGGCGGGGCCGGGAGCGCGGGGGCGGGGCCCCGCGGGGAGGGCGTGGCCAGGACCGTGGGAGCGGTGCCGGGTGGGCGGGGTCAAGAGCGTGAGAAGGGCGCTGGGCGGAGGGGTGCGCTGAGCGGGGGTGGGCGGGGCCTGCGACGCGGGCAGGGCGCTGGGTGGGCGGAGCCGCGCCGGGTGGGCGGGGTCAAGAGCGTGAGAAGGGCGCTGGGCGGAGGGGTGCGCTGAGCGGGGTGGGCGGGGCCGCGCCGGGTGGGCGGGGCCGCGCCGGGTGGGCGGGGCCGCGCCGGGTGGGCGGGGCCGCGCCGGGTGGGCGGGGCGTCGGGCTCCGCCCCCGGTCCGTCCCGCGGCCTCCCAGACGCCGGCCGGGCGCCCGGGACGCCATGAAGCAGCTGTGCCTGTGCGCGGCCGCCTCCTTCGCGGTAGGGCGCGGGGCGGGGCGCGGGGCAGGGGCGGGGCGGGGGGGGCTCCGATCCGTCCTGTCCCCGCCCCGCCCCGCCCGGCCCCTGCCAGGTCTCCACCCCCACCCCCAGACCCGGATGCCCGCAGACGCGGGGCGGGGGGCGCGGGCTTTGGGGGACAGATGCGAAGTTTGGGGGCGCTGTGTGGAGGCCGCCCCGAGGCCGGGGAGGGGGTGACGCTCAGGACACTGTGGGGACCCGATGTGGGGCCCGCGGGGGGCGGCCTGGGCCTGGGAGCCCGGCGGGAGCACCTGGCCGACTTTGGGGAGGACCTTTCCCTGGGCCGAGGACTCGGGGTGCGGGGATCCGGGCACTTGCGGGCTTTGGGGGAGAGGTTCCGGAAGGCTTTCCAGGCGGCCGCCTCTGTGCACAGGCCTCGGGGCCCTGGGGGACAGGGTGGCCCTTCGCTTGGAAGGACAGACGGCAGAGGGGCGTCGGGGGCAGGGAAGGCTCTAGAAGGTGGCTTGGACGGACCTGTGGCTGGGTTTGCTGGAGGAAGTGTTAGATCGGGGGGACATAGCATTTATTTTGCGAAGAGGGGCTCATGCCAATGGGTGATGCTGCTGGTGGGCTTGGGGTGGACCCCTGGGGCGAGGGCCTGGGGGCACGACTGATGGGGGTCACAAAATTGGGAAGACACTATCTCAGGCTCCCCCCGGGCCCAGGACCACCTCCCCCTCCCCCTCCCCCCCACAGCTTCGGCTCAGCCCCACCGACCTCGGCTCCTGCCCGCCCTGCGGCCCCTGCCCCATCCCGAAGCCCCCAGCCAGAGGCAGGCGCCAGGCAAGTGCCAGGGGCGAGCGGTGAGAGCCGGGAGCCCGCACCGTGTGCCGGGGGGTGTCGGGGGGAGGGTGGGGTGGGGATCCGGGCGAGGGCAGCAGCCCACCAGACCCTCCCCCACACCCCCCCTGGATGTATCCTGCAGGGCCAGGACTGGACCAAAAGTGACCAGCGGCTGCTGCAGGCAGTGGAGAACGGCGACCCTGCCCAGGTGGCTGCGCTTCTCGCCCGCAAGGGCCTGGTGCCCACCAAGCTGGACCCCGAGGGCAAGTCTGCGTGAGTGCCCGCAAGCAGGGGGTGGGGATGGCCGGGCCAGGCTCCTGCTCACCGCTGACCTCTCACCTCTAGCTTCCACCTGGCAGCCATGAGGGGAGCAGCCAGCTGCTTGGAGGTGATGCTGACACAGGGCGCCAATGTGATGAGCACCGACGGAGCAGGTACTGCAGCCGGGGGGGGGGGGGGGGGGGGGGAGGAGGGGGGGGGGGCAGGGGAGGGGAGAGGGGGAATCCAGTGCTCAGGGCCAGGTTCAAGGCCCCAGTGTCCCCTGCATGAGAAGGGAGTTGTCTCCACTGTCCTTGGGGGCTGGGCACAGGGAAGAGGCCGCCTGGTGTCTGAGGATGGACACCATGGCTAGCACGATGGCCACTTGTGGATGAGGAAATGGGTGAGACGCAGGGTTCGAGGAAGAAGGGAGTATCTGGAGACTGGGTGGGGGGGAATATCTGAGAAAGTGGCCAAGGCTGAGGACAAACCTGAGATTCCCTCCAGCAGCAGCCTGATAATAAAGTGGACCAACACTTGAAAGCACTGTTCAGGTGGGGCTTCTAGTGCCACCATGTGGTCAGCGGAGAGCAACTGAGTTGGAGAGTACCTGGAGTCAACAGGAGTAGCTGGGCAGGGTGGCGGAGTAGCTGGGCTGGGAGGGGAGTAGCTGGGCTGAATGGGGTGGGGGGGGTGTTGAGGTCAGGAGACTTAACAGGTTGAGTGTGGCAGATACTGAGGAGAGCTGGGTTGCGTATGGACAGTATCAGCAGCTTTGTGAGTAGCTGGGAAAAAAGGAGAGTCTGACATGGGTGCTGGCAGCTCACGCCTGTCATTCCCGCCATTCAAGAGGCTGAGATCTGAGGATCAAGGTCCAAAGCCAGCCTAGGCAGGAAAGTCCGTGAGACCCTTATCTCTAATCAACAAAAAGCTGGTAGAGACTGAGCATTGAGTAGACAATGCCCAGTTCCTGAGTTCAAGCCCCAGTAACAACACGTGTGCACAAGCGCGCGTGTGCACGCGCGCGCACACACACACACACTAAACCAAACAAAAAGGACAGCCAGGCTCAGGTGGCTGTCATCCTAGCGACTCAGGAGGTTGAGATCTGAGGATCACGGTTCAAAGCCAACACAGACAGGAAAGTCCATTGGACTCTGGTCTCCAATTGACCACCAGAAAACCAGAAGTGGTGTTGTGGCTCAAGTGGTAGAGTGCTAGCCTTGAGTACAAAAGTCTCAGGAACAGTGCCCAAGCCTGAGTTCAAGCCCCATGACTTACAAAAACAAACACAAACCAAAAAGCAGAATTATGATAGCTGAAATAATTGAGATGAGATGAATGGCCAATGGGAAGCTGGCTCCACTTGGCATATGGGTATAGCCATGTCTGAAGCTCCAGGGCTACAGGTGAAGTGGACAAGGCCCAAGGAGTAGCTGGGGTTGTAAAGTATCAATAGGACAGAATTGGCTGGTGGAAGAACATGGTATGCAAGTGAGCATGTGCAGACAGACCGCTATGGCCCACAGGGGGCAAACCCAGTGCATTGGGTGGGGTGAGTAGAGTAGCTTGGGCCTGGGGAGTAGCTGGGGGGAATGGGAGCTGGGGACTGGGAAGTCTCTGGCTGGAGAGAGTAGCTTAGTTTTGAGAAGCAGTTGTGGATAGGAGACTTGGAAAGTCATCCCAGGCATGGGGAGTAGCTGGGGGTGCCTGGAGCAGCCTGCATTCCCATGCTCCTCCTCTTCCTTTCAGGTTACAATGCCCTCCACCTGGCTGCCAAGTATGGGCACCCACAGTGTCTCAAGCTGCTGCTACAGGTCATTTGATGTGGTGTGTGCATGTGTGCTGGTGCTCGGGCTTGAACTCGGGGCTTCACCCTCTGCCTCAGCTTTCTCTGCTATTTATTTATTCACTTATCTGTTGTTCCAGTTGTGGGGCTTGAACTCGTGGCCTGGGTGCTGTCCTTTTGCTTTTTCCCCCTTCTTTTGCTCAAGGCGGGAGCTCTACCATTTGAGCCACAGCTTTGGGGTGGTGAACTGGAGTCTCACAGACTTTCCCTGCTTAGGCTGGCTTCAGACCATGAGCCTTAGATCTCAGCCTTCCCGAGTAGCTAGGAGTACAGGCCTGTCTGGATTCATGTACTTTGTTTTCCAACCTCAGATACTCCCTGAGTCCCAGATACTCCCGTGGCCCCCACTGCGGCAGAGCCCAGCGAGTTTCAAATCTCCCGTCCTCAACTCTCCCCTCTTACATCCTCATATGCGCTGGGCCACTTCACCCTGAACCCCAGTGGCTCCCAAGACCAGCTTTCCCCAGCTCAGTTTTCCCCCAAGGCCACTCAGAGTGTCCAGCTTCTCCCCAAGCACCAGCTACTCCCCTCACTATTCTATCATAACAGCCGAGCATCTATTGGGGGGCTGTGACAGGAATGCTAGTGGCCACCCTAGGGGCCGAGTGGTCTTGGGACATCCAGGACGGATGGCCTCTCTTCATGTTACCCGCCTCCCCTTCCCAGGCCTCCTGCGTGGTGGATGTGGAGGACAGCAGCGGGTGGACAGCCCTTCATCATGCAGGTGCGTGCAGATGGTCTCTCCATGGATGGAGCACCAGGAACCTGGCACAGCTTAAACTCTGGCCACCCTTTGAACCAAGGGCTGTTTCCCCCTTGATAGAGTGTAGGTTTAATTCTCCCCCACCCACCCCCTCTTTGGTGGTGGTGGGGGCGGGGCTTGAACTCAGGGCCTGGACTGTCCCTGAGTTCCTTTGCTCAAGGCTAGAGCTCTACCACATTGAATCACAGCACCACTTCTGGTTTTCTGGTGGTGCATTGGAGATAAGAGTCTCACAGACTTTCTTTACTAGGCTGGCTTTGAACTGTGATCCTTCCATCTCAGCCTCCTGGGTAACTCGGGTGGCAGGCCTGAGCCACCAATGCCCAGTGAGTTTAAACTGTTTTGAAAGAACGGCTGGAAATCCAGAGGCTCAGCCTGATAGGACTGTCCTCCTGTCAATCATCTGAGATAGACTCCACTTCCAAGAGAAGGGCGGGCACCGGCTGGCCCAGACAGAGCTGACCAGAGGCTTTTCCTGGGGGAAATAACAAAATTGGGTTCAAACGTCCTAGTGGTGACATGCCTCTGCGCCCAACACCGAGGCTCGTTTTTATTTAATATTATTTCCTTGAAGGCTTTTCAGCCATGGTCTCCCTCTGTAGACTAAACTGACCTGGCACTTGGGATCCTCCTTCCTCCGCCTTCTAAATGCTGGGATTGCAGGCATGCACGACCACACCCGCCCCTCTTCCTCTTTCTTGGAACCTCATTTTTAAATGTTTCTTATCTGACAAGTTTTGCTCCTAGTGTTGTAGTTCTTTCTGGCAGAGACTACAATTCCTTACTCTCTCAGGTCCATATTGGATGGAATAGGGCATTCTCATGATATCTGATTTTAATGTGCTGCAATTTGAGCCAGGCACCAGTGGCACATGCCTGTTCACCTAGCTACTTTAGGAGGCTGAAATCTGAGGAATCACAGTTCAAAGCCAGCTCAGGCATGAAAGTCCATGAGATTCTTCTTTATTTTTTTTGGTTGGTCGTGGGGCTTGAATTCTGGGCTTGGGCGCTGTCCCTGAGCTCTTCAGCAGCTCAAGGCTAGTGCTCTACCGCTTGAGCCACAGCGCTGCTTCTGGTTTTCTTTTTTCTTTTTTTTTTTGGGTCCGGTAGTGGGGCTTGAACTCTGGGCCTGGGCGCTGTCCCTCAGATCTTCAGCTCAAGGCTAGCGCTCTACCACTCGAGCCATAGAGCCACTTCCGGCTTTTTTCTTTTTGCTTATGTGGTGCTGAGGGATCGAACCCAGGGCCTCAGGCATGCAAGGCAAGCGCTCTACCACTGAGCCACCTTCCCAGCCCCTGCTTCTGGTTTTCTAGTGATTTATTGGAGATAAAGAGTCTCACGGACTTTCCTGCCCAGGCTGGGTTTGAACCAAGATACTCAGATCTCAGCCTCCTGAGTAGGTAGGATGACAGGCATGAGCCACCAGCGCCCGGTGTCCATGAGATTCTTACCTCCAATTAACCACCAAAAAAGCTGGGAGTGGAGCTGTGACTCCAGTGGTAGAGCACCAGCCTTGAGCAAAAGAGCAAAAGGACAGCCCCCAGGCCTTGAGTTCAAGCCCTAGGGCCAGCACAGACACACAGAAGCCTGCCAAGGTGGAAGGCAGGGCTCTCTCTAGAGCTCTCTCTTCCCTCTTCTTCTCCCCAGCGGCTGGTGGCTGCCTGTCTTGCTCAGAGCTACTCTGTTCATTCAAGGCGCATCTGAACCCCCGAGATCGGGTGAGCTCCTGAGGCCTTTTGGGCGGGGTGTGTGTGTGGCAAAAATGGCCCTGCTCTTAATACATGCTGTCACCGAGTGGCAGGGTCCTTTTACAAAGTTCTGGGGGGTGAGATCCAGGGTGGCTCGACCCCCCAAAGGTCAATTACTCATTCTACCTCTCCCCTCCTCTCCCCCCCACTCCACCCAGTCGGGCGCAACTCCCCTCATCCTAGCTGCTCAGATGTGTCACACCGATCTGTGCCGCCTCCTCCTGCAACGGGGGGCTGCCGCAAATGACCAAGACCTGCAGGGCAGGTAAGCACCTCCCCTCTCCACACATCTGTCCCGTGTGCTGTGTGACCTGCGGAAAGTGTCTTAACCTCTCTGAGTGGGGGAATGTCTTCAGTGCGCTTCTCCTCCCAGCTTGGGTGAGGGACCTTGGACATGTCCTCACCTCCACAGGGGTTCCTTTTCTCCAACAGGACGGCCCTGATGCTGGCCTGTGAGGGGGCCAGCCCCGAAACGGTGGAGGTGCTGCTTCAGGGCGGGGCCCAGACGGGCATCACAGATGCACTAGGCCAGGATGCAGCTCATTATGGTGCCCGGGTCGGGGACAAACTCATCCTACACCTTCTCCAGGAGGCGGTCCAGCGCCCCTCGCCACCCAGTGGTAATGCCAACCCCTTCTCTCTCATTCCTTCCTGTAGTTTCTAACACCCCCAACCCACCTTTTCCCCATTGTAGACAGTTTCAAGGTACCCCAGTGTGCTGTTACAGGAAGTTTCATAGTGCTTTCAAGTGCCATGAGCATTTAGACTGGTCCAAGACTCCAGTGTGATCTCCCAGGCCATCTTTATTCTAAGAAGTGGCAGCCATGCTGGCCCCCGGCGAGAAGCGCCACCATCCTGGCTGTGTCGCCCTCCCCGCACCCCTCTTCCTCTGAGTTTCTAGGCCCTTTCCTTCATTCTGCCAGCCCTGGATCCTTAAAATTCCTGACACTGGGGCCAGGCGCGGTGACACACTCCTGTAATCCCAGCCCTTGGGAGGCCTTGGCAGGGAAGCTGGAGAGGTCTAGACCGGCCTGGTCTCCATAGCGAGACCCCAGTCTCCACAATTAAGTAGCCATCCCTGGTTCTTGGGAAATAGGGAGCCCCTCTCTCCCAAGTGCGCTTCCTTCAGCTGGGGTGCAGGGGTTCTCCCAGCTGATGCCTGACGCTCCCTCTCTGTCCTCCCACTCCCCGCCCCCCAGAGCTTGACTCAGGAGAAGCGTCATCTCAGGTACGGGGCCCTTGAACCCCACTCCCTGTCCTTTCCGCATTCTCTGACCGGAGATGAATGCCCAGGGGTTCAGGATCCGGTGGGGTATGCTGCCCCCATGTGGCACCCACGGGCACTGCAACACTGCTCGGTCTGGGTGGGAGCTGGGGCCCTGGGGCCCCCCCATCCGGACAGAGGAGACCATGGCTGGTGTGTGTTGGGGGGGGGGTCGGGGTGTTGTCTGCCTTGAGGGGGACCTGGTTAGACAGTGCCCAGGAAGTCAGGGCGCAGCTGGGGTGGTGCTGGCTGTGGTTCTGGCTGCCTACCACATGTCCGCTTTATCCTCTGCCCCTCCCCTAGAACTCGGTGTCCAGCCAAGAAAAGCGGGGGGCTGCCAAGAAGCGGAAGGCACCCCAGCCTCCTGCCAGCATTCCTGTGCCGGTGAGGGGTGGGTCCTGACTGTGGGGGAGGAGGAGGGGGACCCCTGAAACCAGGCCAGGGCACAGGCCGGGGGTGCCGTCTAACGGGAGTGCCCCCCACCCTCCCACTGGGGAGGGGACAGGACGACCGCGAAGCCTACGAGGAGATCGTGCGCCTGCGGCAGGAGAGAGGCCGGCTCCTGCAGAAGATCCGGGGCCTGGAACAGCACAAGGAGCGCAGGAGGCCGGAGGTGGGCTGGCCGCAGAGACCCGGGCCAGGGGGGAACTTCCTTTACTCCCCCCTCCCTCCCCCATGCTGCGCCCGCCCCGCCAGGTGCCAGCCAGGCTCACAGATGCCTTGAGTGAACCTGAGTCAGCGAGTGACTTCATGATTCGGCTCAAAGCCGGCACTGGGTAAAAACAAAAATCCAACCAGTAGGCTCAGGGCGCCGGTGGCTCACGCCTGTCATCCTAACTACTCAGGAGGCTGAGATCTGAGGATCATGGTTCAAAGCCAACCCGGGGGGGGAGGGAGGGAGGAAAGTCCATGAGACACTTAACTACCAAAAAGCCAGTAACTGAGCCGTAGCTCAAGTGGTAGAGCTCTGGCTTTGAGTGAAAAAGCTCAGGGGCAGCACCTAGGCCCTGAGTTCAAACCCTAGGATGGGCACATGTGTGTGCGCGCGTGCGCACACACACACACACACACACACACACACACACACACACCAACCACAGGGGAAAAGCCCGTAGAAAACAGCAGACTCCAAACAGTAGTGAGTGCCCAGGCCATTGGTCAGGCTTGGCACCCATCTGTGGCTGGAGCTTGGGCAGGGAGGATCCCCGCTGGGGGATCCTGCCCAGTCTCCTCCTTCCTTCCCTGCAGCCCCTGGAGCCAGAAGCCAGCTCGGTGCACAGCCTGGAGAGACAGGTAGAGGGAGGGGGCAGGACTCCCACCTGACCTGGGTGGTGTCTCCTCCCAGAGGCGGCTGAGCCCCCCATCCTGCCCCCCCCCCCCCCCGCCCCCGTGTAGGTGCAGGAGCTGCAGCAGCTGCTGGCAGAAAAGCAAGAGGAGAAGGAGAGTCTGGGACGGGAGGTGGAGAGTTTGCAGAGCCGGCTGTCCCTGCTGGAGGTGGGCAGCCAGGGGGCGTGGCCGATCTGGGGAGGGGCGTGACCGAGCCGGGGAGGGCGGAGCTGAGACCGGCAGGGGCGGGGCAAATGCTGGGTTAGGTTAGAATGTAAGGGCGGGGCAGAGCCAGAGAGGGGCGGGCCCAAGCAAGTACTGGGCAGGGCTGGAATGGGGAAGAGGCAGGGCCTCGTCAACTAGGGGTGGGGCTAAGCCCTGGAGGGGCGGAGACAGGGGCGGGGCCTGGTTAGTGTAGGAAAGAACCAGGGGCGGGTGGGTGGAGCAAGTATTGGGTTAAGGCAGGGACTTAGCCAGGCCTAAGCAGAGGTTCACCAACGGTTAAGGGGCCTGGTTGTTCAGGGGTGCCCCATGGCCCAGGGGAGGAGTCATCCAGAGATGGGTGGGTCTAGCACCTGGTCTACCCACAAGTCTGTGTGGGCACAACATGCAAACACAAGGGTGCTGGTACACTCACAACACACATTCATAGCACAACCAGGTACAGATGGTAGATTAGGGCTGGGAAGGTGGCTTAGGGGTAGAGCACTTGCCTTGCATGCTTGAAGCCCTGGGTTCCATTCCTCAGTACCACATAAGCAGAAAAAGCTGCAAGTATGCTGGGCGCCGGTGGCTGATGCCTGTCATCCTAGCTACTCAGGAGGCTGAGATCTGAGGATTGTGGTTCAAAGCCAGCCCGGGCAGGAAACTCCGTGAAACTCATCTCCAATTAACCACCGGAAAACTGGAAGTGGCGCTGTGGCTCAAGTGGTAGAGCGCTCACTTTGAGCTGAAGAGCTGAGGGACAGCGTCCAGGCCCAGAGTTCAAGCCCCACAACCAACAAAAACAAAAACAAAAAACAAATGGTAGATTAACACACAAGCTGATAATCCTGCACTTTCACACCACACCTGTGTGCAGTTACACACAGCTGTGTAGCCACACGCCCTGCCAAGACCCTCCTGTCTGTAGAGAACACGCCCGGCCATGAGTTGAGACCTGCAGACCCGCACATGTTATTATTATATGTACACACAAATCACCATATAAGCAATTTGTGCAACTCAGTGGCTAAACACACTAAACCACCCTGTAAAAAAATGGGCCCACACCAGGCAGGGCCTGATAGCTCATGCCTGTAACCCCAGCACTCAGGAGGAGAGGCAGGAGGTTTGGGGTTCAGGCTGTAGAGCAAGACTTGATCTTCAAAAGACATGGCAGGGCTGGGAAGGTGGCTCAGTGGTAGAGTGCTTGCCTTGCATGCCTGGGGCCCTGGGTTCGATTCCTTAGCACCACATAAGCAAAAAGAAAAAAGCTGGAAGTGGCGCTGTGGCTCAAGTGGTAGAGCACTAGCCTTGAGCTGAAGAGCTGAGGGACAGCACCCAGGCCCAGAGTTCAGGCCCCATGACCGGACCCAAAAAAAAAAAAAAAAAAAGACATGGCAACTCCACAGGAACCCATGTTATTTGGGGGGGGGAACCATAAAACTGAGGTGCAGCTCAGTGGTGAGCAATGGCCAGCACCACAAAAATAGCTGGGGGACCTGGTATGTGCCCCATAAATAGGAACCCAGGGGTGGGGGGTGCTGTAGGTGCATGGATTCCTTAGTTCTTTCTAGAGTCTTGGGGGGGTGACAGGTTAGTAGGGAGCAGGACCCCAAGCTGGAATCTGTCTCCTGCCCCCCCTCCCCCAGAATGAGCGAGAGAATACCAGCTATGACGTGTCTACCCTACAGGAGGAGGAGGGGGACCTGCCTGATGCAGCTGGTGAACCTTCCCTGTCCCCCACTCCTCCCCCTAGAAGCTCCTGATGATCTGGTCCTGGGACACCCCCTGCCCGCCCAGGATGGGAGCTTGTGGGGTGCTGGGTAGGGGGGGTTCATGAACCATTCATTCCCCCTTGCTGAGCCAGTCCTGGGGATCCCGACACCCGTCTCTAGACTCCCTGTCCCAGTGCCCTCTGGCCTGAACCCCCAGCCTGACTGTGACCCCCGCCCCCCGCCAGGGGCCGAGGCTCTGCTGAGCCCGTCGGCTCGGGGCCTCCTGGCCTCGCTGCAGGAGCAGGTGGCTGAGCTCACCAGGCAGAACCAGGAGCTGATGGAGAAGGTGCAGGTGGGTCAGCCGGGGTCAGGATGGGCAGAGGCCGCCGCGAGGCCATCCTCCGCCCCCTACCCTGCCCGATCGCACCCTTTACCCCCAGATCCTGGAGGACTTCGAGAAGGAGGATCTGCAGGTGGAGGCGAACGGCGCCCCCGAGGTCATCCCGCTGCTGCTCTACGACTCTCTCCGCGCCGAGTTCGACCAGCTCCGGAGGCAGCATGCCGAGGCCCTGCGGAGGCTGGAGCAGCAGGAGGCTCCAAAGAACCCCGGAGGCCACGATGAGGCAGCCCAGGAGGAGGACAGGGATGGGGGAGCCAAGACCCCCCAAAAGAGGCCTTCCAGCGCAGGGCTAAATGGCACCGTGACTCCAGAAAGCCAAGTTAACGGAACCGCGGATGAGGAGACTGCTGGAGTTGAAACCACGACGTTGGAAATAGCATCCACGAATCCCGAGGCCACGGGAACCCAGGCCACTGAAACCGAATGCGCAGACACGGAGGTCGCAGGAACACTGGGGGACGGAGCCGAGGCTGTGGAAACAAAAGCCACAGGGGCTGAGATCCTAGAAGGGAAGATGACAGAAACAGAGAACACGGGCACCAAGGCCACAGGAGCCGAGGCCACTGAAGCAGAGGCCACAAACCCCAATGCAAATCCTGTAGCAGCAGAGGTCAAGGGACTGGGGGACGTGGAAGCTGAGGCCCTGGGGACAGGCGCCACCAACAGCGAGGCCACGGGAGTGGAGGCCCCGGATGCGGAGGCCACAGATGCAGAGGCCACTGCTGCTCCAGGGGTCCCCGCGGGTCCCGTCCTGCACCCTGGGGCTGCCGAGGCGTCGGAGAAGCTGCAGGCCGAGCTGGAGAGCAGGATCCGAGGCTTGGAAGAGGCTCTCCGGCAGCGAGAGCGGGAGGCGGCCGCCGAGCTGGAGGCAGCCCGTGGCAAATGTGAGGCCGCAGAGGCCGAGGCTGGCCGGCTGCGGGAGCGGGTACGCGAGGCCGAGGGCAGTGGGGCCGGCGGGGGCAGCGGCGGCGGCGGGGGCAGCGGCGGCGGTGACACTGTCCAGCTGCGGGCGGCCCTGGAGCAGGCCCGGGAGGACCTGCGAGGTCGAGACTCGCGCCTGCGGGAGCTGGAGGCAGCCGTGGCCCAGCTGGACGAGGCCCGGGCCGGCCGGCTGCTGGCCGAGGAGGAGGCCAGGGGATTGCGGGCCGAGCTGGCCCGGCGGGAGGAGATGCGTCTGGAGCAGAGCCGGGAGCTGGAGGTGCTGCGGGAACAGCTGGCCACGGCCAGGGCCGCAGGGGAGGAGCAGCGAGCCGCAGCCGCCGAGCTGGGCGAAGCCAAGGCCGCGGCCGAGGCCCGGGCCACCGAGCTGGCCACGGCGTGCGAGGAGGCCCGGCGCGGGCTGGCCGAGCTGCGGGAGGCGTCCGAGGCTCTGCGCCAGGCCTCGGTGCCCGCGGCTGAGCATCGCCGGCTGCAGGAGGAGGCGCTGGAGCTGCGGGGCCGGGCGGCCAGCCTGGAGCAGGAGGTGGTGGCCACGGGCAAGGAGGCCGCCCGGCTGCGCGCGGAGCTGGAGCGGGAGCGCACGGGCAGCGTGGCGCGCTCCGAGCACGAGCAGGTGGTGGGCGCGCTGCAGGCCGACGTGGCCCGGCTGCAGGGCCAGCTGGAGGACCTGGGGCGCCGGCACGAGAAGACAAGTGCAGAGGTCTTCCAGGTGAGGGATCCCCCCCCACACACACACCCCACCCCGGGCCTTGCTGGCTCACCTGGAGGCCTGGGGCAGGGCCTGGATGTGTTCTGTGGATGCTGGTCCCTCTGGGGCTGGAACTCTGGGCCTGGGCACTGTCTCTCGGCTCTTCAGCTCAAGGTGAACGCTGTACCTCTTGAGCCACAGCACCACTTCCTGTTTTCTGAGTGGTTTATTGGAGAGAAGAGTCTCCCGGACTTTCCTGCTTGGGCTGGCTTCAAACTGTGATCCTCAGATCTCAGCCTCCTGAGTAGCTGGGATGACAGGCGTCATCCCAGAAATGTTTTACATCCCAGCGCCCAGAACTGTTTTATATTTTAAAGGAAGAAATCTACAGGGACTAGAGGGGTGGTAGAGTGTCTGCTTGTCAAGCCTGAGGCCCTGAGTTCAAAATACCCCGGTACTGCCAAAAGTGAGAGAAAGAAAAAGAAAGGAAGGAAAAAAAGGGAGGGAGGGAAGGAAGGAAGATGTCTAGAAACTTTCATATCACTGGCAGAAATAAGGACATTGGTAGCAATAGAAAAACAAGAACAATATCACTAACTCAAACAGAGCCCTTACTGTATGTACCAGGCACTGTCCTTGGCACATTCTATGTATCTGCTTAGAATATAGTAAATGGTAGCTTTTCTTATCATCCTCATTCTCCATATGAGGAAATGGGCACAGAAAGGTGAAGTCACTTGCCCTAGGACACACAGCATGCTATCTGGAAGTGCCCAGAAGGGTCTATAAATCACACCCAGAACTTCCATGGGACCGAGTCCCTCCAGATGGACATGGGGTTGACTGTCCTCAGGCCGAAGTGGAAGGTTGAGAAGGAGCCCCATACATTGTGGGGGTACACACTGGTCATCTCGGACTACAGGTACAGCGTGAGGCGCTGTTCATGAAGAGTGAGCGCCATGCGGCCGAGGCTCAGCTGGCCACAGCCGAACAGCAGCTCCGGGGGCTCCGAACCGAGGCGGAAAGGGCACGGCAGGCCCAGAGCCGAGCCCAGGAGGCCCTGGACAAGGCCAAGGAGAAAGACAAAAAGGTGGGTGCCCCCCCTGCAGGGTTAGGGCCTCCTAGTCCCCACCAGAGCTCAGAGAGAATCTGAGTGGGTGGTGAAAACTAGCCTCGGTCCCCAGCAGAAAAATCAGACAGCAGAAGAAGCAGAAGAAGGGAGGGGCTCAGCTGTAGCCAACCTGAGCTGCTGCTCTTCTGGGTGGAGCGTGCATTGAGCACGTGCTGTATGCCAGACCTAGCACCTGTGCGTTCATACAGGGGAAGCCTCCAGGCCACAAATCACATTCCAATAAGAGGAAACGAGGCACAGTGACATGAAGATACTGCTCCAGAGCCACACAGCCTGACAGTGGTATTGCCAGGGTTCGACTCTAACAACAATAAGATTGACACCTGAAACTAGTTGCTGAGCTGACTCACCTTATTGCTTCTCTTCCCACAATTCTTACACCTGAAAGCTCCTTCCTTCCTTCCTTCCTTCCTTCCTTCCTTCCTTCCTTCCTTCCTTCCTTCCTTCCTTCCTTCCTTCCTTCCTTTCTTTTTGTTGGTCACGGGGCTTGAACTCGGAACCTGGGCACTGTCTCTGAACTTTTGTGTTCAAGGCCACAGCTCTACCACTTTGAGCCACAACACCACTTCTGGTTTTCTGGTGGTTCACTGTAGATAAGAGTCTCACGGACCTTTCCTGTCCAGGCTGGCTTTGAACCATGATCTTCATATCTCAGCCTCCTGAGTAGCTAGGATGACAGGCGTGAGCCACTGACCCCCAGTTCAGTGCTACTTCCTTTATTTTCTTCAAAGATACTAGGAATTAAACTCAGGGCCACATGCTTGTAAGACATGCACCATAGCCAGGTGCCAGTGCCTCACACCTGTCATCCTAGCTACTCAGGAGGCTGAGATCTGAGGATCGTGGTTCAAAACCAGCCTGGACAGGAAAGGTCCATGAGACTCTGATCTCCAATGAACCACCAGAAAACCAGAAGTGGCGCTGTGGCTCAAGTGGTTAGAGCATGAGCCTTGAGCTGAAGAGCTCAGGGACAGCACCCAGGCCCAGAGTTCAAGCCCCATGATGGACCAAAAAAAGAAAGCCCTGTACAATTTGAGCCACGCCCCCTCCACTCAAGCCACACCCGCTCACCTCAAGCCACGCCCCACTGTGTAGGGGGCACTCTGCAGCTCAAGCCACATCCCCATTGGTGGAGACAGGCTTTTTCAAGCTGGAACAATGCTTCTGGAGTTCAAGCCACGCCCCTTGGTTTGAGCCACACCTCTACCCTTGAGTGGTTCCTCCAGCCCCTTTTTGGCCTTGGTTATTTTTCCAGGTAGGGGTGTATGTTTAATGCCTGTGCCAGCCTCGACTTCATTCCTCCTGGTGTTTGTGCTGAGTAGCAGAGGCACACACCACAATGCCCAGACACTGGTTGATGAGGACTGTTGTGAACTTTTAAGCCTGGGCTATCCGCAAACCCTCATCCCTTGATTGAGCTCTGCCTCCCAAGTAACTAGAATCTCAGGCTTGAGCCATAATGCCTGGTTAAGCAGAAAGCATTGTTTTGTGTGGGTTTGTTTGTTTTGCCAGTCCTGGGGCTTGAACTCAGGGCCTGAGAACTATCCCTCACTTGGAGCCACAGTGCCGCTTCCAGCTTTTTCTGTGTACATTGTACTGAGGAATCGAACCCAGGGCTTCATGCATGCTAGACAAGCACTCTACCACAGAGCCACCTTCCCAGCCCACAGAAAGCATTTTTATTCCTCTCTTCCTGATGAGCAGAGTTGGGGTTCCCATAGGTGAAGTGAAGGGCCAGTCACAAAGGCTTGTCACTGCAGAGCTGTTAAGGGGCCCAAGAGAGCCGGCCGCCTTGCTGTGTGGCCTTAGGCAGGTCACCTCTGAGCTCTGGCTTCTTCCTCTGCGAATGGAGGATGAAATGGTACCTTGGTGATGGGTAATTGACAGCCAGGCCAGGTGTCAGTGGCTCACGCCTGTCACCCTATCTACTCAGGAGGCTGAGACCTGAGGATCGTGGTTCAAAGCCAGCCCAGGCAAAGAAAGTCCTTGAACACTCTTATCTCCAATTGGCCACCAGAAAAACTAGAAGTGGTGCTGTGGCTCGAGTGATGGAGTGGTCACCTTGAGCTGAAGAGCAGAGGGTAGGACAGTGCCCAGGCCCAGAGTTCAAGCCTCACGACCGACCCCCCAAAAATTGACAGCCAGTTCTCATTCTCAGTGCTGTGCACATCCGGGCTAGGTGACTCGGATGGGGAGAGGGGTGTGCCTGTCCCTGAAGGGGCCTGGGCAGCAATGCCTGCCCTCCCCCCAGCCATTACATGCCAGCGCCCTTGCCGGCCACCACAGCTACGCATGTGTCTGTGTCACCCTGAGGGAGCTAGTGGTCTTTATTATAATAAGGTCATTTATGAAGCACCTGCTGTGTACATGGAATCTCGGCACACCGGCAAAGCCCAGTCCTTGGGCCAGATCTGTGATTCTGACCATATGAGCCACAAGAAAGGGGTGGAAAGGGCCAGGTGCTGGGGGCTCACACCTGTCATCCTGAGACCTGGGGATCACGGTTCAAAGCCAGCCCCAGACAGGAAAGTCTGAGAGACTCTTATCTCCAAATAACCACCAGAAAACCCGAAGTGGGGCTTGAACTCTGGGCTTGGGCGCTGTCCCTGCGCTCTTCAGCTCAAGGCGAGCACTCTACCGCTTGAGCCCCTGTGATATTCTTATCTCCAATGAACCACCAGAAAACCAGAGTTCAAGCCCCACAATTAAAAAAAAAAAAGTGGGTAGGGAGCTGGGTGCTGGTGGCTCACGCCTGTCATCCTAGCTACTCAGGAGGCTGAGATCATTTGAGGATCATGGATCAAAGCCAGCCTGGGCAGGAAAGTCCCACAGACTCGACCAGAAACTTGAACTACTCACTTTTGATCAGCTACCTCTTCTTCTTGTCCTGTGGAGACCCTCAACCTGTGGTTCTGGAGGAGTAGGAGGCTCACTAACAGACCCCTTCCTCCAGATCACAGAATTATCCAAAGAAGTCTTCAACCTAAAGGAGGCGCTCAGAGAGCAGCCGGCAGCCCCAGCCAGTCCCGAGGTGGAGGCCCTGCGTGGCCAGGTCAGAACTCTCCAGCGGGAACTGCAGGTGAGCGCTGTGTGTCAGGAGAGGGACTGGGTGGGCAGGATGGCAGGAGCCGTGTCCAGCACAGACAAGAAGAACATTTCCGGGCTGGGAAGGTGGCTCAGTGGTAGAGCGCTTGCCTTGCATGCCAGAGGCCCTGGGTTCGATTCCTCAGCACCACATAAGCAAAACGAAAAAAGCCGGAAGTGGAGCTGTGGCTCAAGTGGTAGAGCGCTAGCCTTGAGCTGAAGAGCTGAGGGACAGCGCCCAGGCCCAGAGTTCAGGCTCCACAACCGGACCCCCCCCCCCCCCAAAAAAAAAGAAGAACATTTCCATGCAGAGGGCGGGTGCCAATAGCTCACACCTGTCCTCCTGGCTACTCAGGAGGCTGAGATCTGAGGATCACAGTTTGAAGCCAGCTTGGTCAGGAAAGTCCCTGAGCCTTTTATCTCCAGGGATCTAGCCAAAAGCCAGAAGTGGAGCGGTGGCTCAAGTGGTAGAGTGCCAGGCTTGAGAAAAAAAAAAAATTCAGGGGCAACCTCTAGGCCTTGAATTCAAGCCTGAGAACTGGCGCACACACACTCACACACACACACACACACACAGATGTGCAAGCAGGAAGTGATGGGCTGTCGGCACATGTGTTGTGGGGCGTGTCAGGCGGGGGTCTGGCTTTCCTGAGCACCCCTCCTCGGTGCCCGCAGGAGGCTGCCCGGGAGCACTGTGCTGTGGTGGCTTTGTACAGAACGCATCTCCTGTATGCCATTCAGGTGAGCCCCGCACTGTGTGCTGACTCCATGTTGGGTGCCCCGGGCCTGGGCGCACCTGACGCTGTCTGGTCCTCAGTGTCCCCTTCTGTGCAGTGGGAGGCTGACTATCTCTGTCATCGACTTGCTTGGTCTGGGGAGAGCAGGGGACTAGGCCAGGCTCTCTCTCTCTCTCTCTCTGCCCTCCTTGCACCCCAGGGCCAGATGGACGAGGACGTGCAAAGGATTCTCAGCCAGATCTTACAGATGCAGAGACTGCAGGCCCAGGGCCGCTGAAGCTGCGGGACAGCCTCCCCTCAGAGCTGTGGCCCCCTCCAGATGCGCAGGGGACACGGGCTTGGCGGACCCTCACCACCACCATAGGCCAGCCAGCCTGGGGCCTTTCCTGACCGTGTCCAGCTGGCTCATCACCCCGCTGCTCCCTGCCTAGGCTGCTCAGTGTGGCAGTCCCTCCCTCCACACGTCCCAACCAAGTCCTCACACAAGAGCGGTTGGAGACGTAAATAAAAAATAAAATTAAAATTAAAAAAAACATTCACAGAACGCATGCGCGTACGGCCTCATTACTGGGGACAGGGCAGGGGTGGGGTGGGGTGGGCCACAGCAGGGGGACCTCCCCCCCCTGCTTCCCTCTACATCATCACTGAACTTAATGCAGCACTTTGAAGACCTTGGATGGGGCTGGGAAGGTGGCTCAGTGGTAGAGCTCTTGCTTTGCATGCATGAGGCCGTGCGTTGGATTCCTCAGCACCACATAAGTAGAAAAAGCCAGAAGTGGCATTGTGGCTCAAGTGGTAGAGCACTAGCCTTCAGCTGAAGAGCTGAGGGACAGAGCCCAGACCCAGAGTTCAGGCCCCCCACCAGCAAAAAAAAAAGACCTCAGATTCAGTGGAGAAGAGCCTACAATAGCATAGAGCCCTCCCTCCCTCCCTCTCCCCGCCTTCTTTCCCTTTCCCTTTTCTTCTCTATTTTCCTTCTTTATTTTTTAGGACACAGGAGGTACTGGGGTTTGAATTCAGGGCCTCTCATTTGCTAGGCCGACTCTACTACTAGAGCCACACCCACCCATTGGCCACACCCCTCTAACATGCCCATTTAAGCCACACCCCTTCAATTTAGCCACGCCCCTAGCTTTTCTTGGGGTTTTTTTTTTTGTCTTTCTTCCCTCCCTCCCTTCCTTCCTCCTTCCCTTCATCTCTTCCTTCTTGTTTTTTTTTTTCTTTCTTTCTTTCTGTACCAGTAATAAGGTTTGAACTCAAGGTCCCTGAACTCTTTTGCTTATGCCACAACTCCACCCCCAGCTTTTTGGTGGTTATTTGGAAATTAGATTAGGCTAGCACTCTACCACTTGATCCACAGTTCTGCTTCTGGCTTTTTGGTGGTTCATTGGAGATAAGAAACTCCCCGTCTTTCCTGCCTGGGCTGGCCTTGGATCATGATCCTCAGATCTCAGCCTCTGGAGTAGCTAGGATTGTAGACATGAGCCACCAGCACTGGACTTTCCATTTCATAATTAACCTCATTTTTTTTTTCATGCCCCTAAACCTTGTCCCTGGGGGAGCCCCTGTCCCCAGCCTCTCCTGGCCCCTGGCAAGTCCCCGTAGACCCTGGGGCTCATTGGCTTTTTCCATTTAGGGGAAGTGTGGGAACCCCTCCCCCTGCCCTTGTGGTTTCCCTTCCCATCCAGGGCTCAGCTGCCTGTCCCGGACTGGGCTTTCCCCATGGGGTGGAAGATGTATGGGGGGGGGGTGAGCTGCCACCTAAAGCAGCCCAACTTTGTTCTCAGCAAAAATCCTGTGCCCTGCCTCTGTGCCTGTGTCCCTTGGGGTCCATGTGGCTCTTGTCTTGGGGCCTCTAACTCTCTCTCTCTCTCCTCTTACTCTCCCCTCCGCTTGCCCTCTGTCCTTGTCCCTTCCCTGGGGGTTTCCCCTGTCACCAATGGCAGCTGAAGCAGCGGAAGGAAAGGCCCCTCCACCATCTGTGGAGGGAGGGAGAGGCCCTGAGGTCACTTCTGCCCCAACCCCCAGGACCTTCCTGCAGCCCTGATCCAAGATGGCCGGCGGGGGCTGGGGGATTCTTCTAGCTGGTGAGTCAGACCTGGTTGTGGGGGAGGGGCTGAAGGGGGCACTGGGTTTTCCCTGGGGAGGTCCCAAGTCCCCTGCCTCCTACCCCAGCCTTGGGCATCCCCACCCCAGATCCAGAGAGCAGAGCCACCGCAGCCATGACCCCCAGGCTACTCCTGGTCCTCACCCTCTGCGTGTCCCCCAGTGGAGTGAAAGGTGAGTGGGAGCGGTGGGGCGGGGGAAGGAAGGTGGCTGAACAGAGGGACGGACCTTCTCTAGGCACTAGCCCCTGCCTACCCATCTCTTTCTACCATGCATCTATTAGTGAAACCAAAGTAACCAGCCATGGTACAGATGGGGAAACCAAGGCACAGAGAAGCAGGAGACAGCCAGGAATGGAGAATGGGGTCCCTATATCTACTGGCTGCCCATCCTTGGAGTCAGTCAAAAATGTTCATGAGAGCCAGGCGCCTAGGGCTCATGCATGTCATCCTAGCTACTCAGGAGGCTGAGATCTAAGAATCACGGTTCAAAGCCAGCAGGAAAGTCTGTGAGACTCTTATCTCCAATGAGCCACGAGAAAACCAGAAATAGCACTGTGGCTCAGTGGTAGAGCACTGGCCTTGAGCTGAAGAGCTCAGGGACAGTGCCAAGGCCCAGAGTTCAAGCCCCACAACCCCTCCCCCCCCCCAAAAAAAAGTTCATGTGTCTAGGTACCTGTGCTCATGTCTATAATCCCAGCTACTCAGGAGACAGATCATGATTCAAAGCCAGGCTAGACAGAAAAGTCTGTAAGACTTTTTTTTTTTTTTTTTAGCAAGTCCTGGGGCTTGAACTCTGGGCTTGGGCACTACTATCCCTGTGCTCTTCAGCTCAAAGTGAGTGCTCTACCACTGAGCCACCTTCCAGCCCCACTTCTGGGTTTTTCTGTTTATGTGGTTCCGAGGAATCAAACCCAGGGCTTCATGCAGCCTAGGCAAGCACCCTACCACTAAACCACATTCCAGGCCCCTAGAGCCTCTTATTGCCAATTAACCACCAGGAAACCAGAAGTGGTGCTGTGGCTCACAGTGGTAGAGTGCTATCCTTGAGCTAGAAAGAGGTAAGGGACAGTGCCCAGGCCCAGAGTTCAAGACCCAGGACAGGCCCAAAAGAAAAAACAAAACAAAACTCTTGTAACCCCATGGTAACTGCCCTGTTCACCTCTTGGTGTGGAAGTAGTGGGGGCAGATCTATCTGGCATGGAAACCTTTCTGCAGCTCCTACTCTGGGGAGGTACTGGCTGCCGGTGTGGTGGAGGGGGGCTGGGCTGAGCACACAACAGGGCTGTGGCAGTCTCTGGGGTGAATTTGAAGCTCAGGCTCCTGTCTCTTCTGCAGGGACCCCAGAGGCTGTGAGCCAGCTCAGGGTGCAGTGCCGTGCCTCTAGATATCCGGTGGCTGTAGATTGCTCCTGGATTCTATCACCAGCTTCCAATGCCACAGGGCCAATGTCCTTCATTGCTACATACAGGTCAGTGGGGTTGGAAGGGACCCCCCGGGTGATGGCCCCCCCCATAAGCCCCGGAGACACAGATACCCCAATCCCAGAGCAGCCTGAACAACAGAAACAATTCCTAAGGTGCCATGTGGCTTTTGCGGGCCCCAATATGCTTGAAAAAGAGTCTACAGCAGGTGAGGGGCGTGGCTCCGATGCTTTAGGGCGTGGCCCCAGCACCAGTGGGCGTGGTGCCGGTAACGAGGGGCATGGCTCAGGGTGAGGGGTGAGGGGCGTGGTTTCACCTGTGAGGGGTAGGGCTCTGCTGCTGACAGCCTTGGCTTCAGTGGTGAGGGAATGACTTTGGATGGGAGGCAAGCAGCTTCAGGGTTGTGGGCGTGGCTACAGCGGTAGGGGCGTGGCTATAGTGGTTAGGGGCGTGGTCACAGGGATGGGGTCCCAGAAGGCAGGGCATGACTGATCTCCCCAACCTGTAATCCTAGCTGCTCAGGAGCTATGATCTCAGGATCAAGATTCTAATCCAGTCTAGGGAGACAAATCCAAGAAATTTATCTCTAATCAGCAAACAGCTAAGCAAGCTCCCAAACTGGCAAATACATCAAGAAAGAAAGAAATGGGTGAGGTTGGCTGGGCGCTCGTGGCTCCTGCCTGTTATCCTAGCTACTCAGGAGGCTGAGATCTTAAGAGGATGGTTCCAAGCCAGCACAGGCAGGAAAGTCTGAGAAACTCTCATCTCCAGTTAAGTACCAGAAAACCAAACTGGACGTGGTGCTGTGGCTCCAAGTGGTAGAAAACTAGCCTTGAACAAAAGAGCTCAGGGACAGTGCCCAGGCCCTGAGTTAAAGCCCCAAGACTGGCAACACAAAAACAAAAACAAAACTAAAGGATGAGTTTAGTTTTACTATGTATGAAACAAATATCACCCAAATATTTCAAATATTTACTACAATTTAACGTAACTATCTTTCTTCCTTTATTCGACTTGTATATTTATACTTAAGAGTAATATGAGTATCAAAAACACTTAATTCCTTCCTTTTGGGGCTTGAACTCAGGGCCTGGGCACTGTCCCTGAGCCTCTTTTGCTCAAAGGCTAGTGCTCTACCACTTGAACCTCAGTGCCACTTCTGGTTTTCTGGTAGTTAATTGGAGATAAGAGTCTCTTCGTGCCGGGGCTGGCTTTGAACCGTGATCCTCAGATCTCAGCTTCCTGAGTAGCTAGGATTACCTAGCTTGTGATAAACTAAGGATTTCCCACTCCTGGGCAGGCACTCTGCTTGAGCCACGCCCACTACTTTAGCCACGCCTTTTATGACTTGAGCCCCGCCCCCTAGTGCTTGGGCCCCGCCTCCGTGATTTGAGACACACCCACCACTTGAGCCCCGCCCCACGTCTTGAACCACGCCTTCTACCGCTTGGGTCACGCCCCCATTTATTGAGACAGGCCCGCCACTGGCTCCGTGTCGTTCAGCCCCGCCCCTACCACTAGAACTCCGCCCCACGGCTAGATCCACGCCCAGTACCACGCAGGCCACGCCCTTTGAGACACGCCCCCTCGCCGCTTCCTGGGGAGCTGGGAAGGGAGGCCCTGACCGCCGCCCCTCCGCGTCTAGGCTGGGCGTGGCCGCGCCTGGGGACAGCCGGCCCTGCCTTCAGCCGGCCCCGGACGCCCCGCGTTGCTCCGTCCTGGACGTGAGGCTCTTCTCCATGGTGCCCCACGTGCTCAACGTCACGGTGCTGCGCCCGGGCGGCGCCGCCTACCGCCTGCTGCCTTTCGTGCCTGAACGCCTCAGTGAGTGACGGGCCTCGCCCCCCCTTGTCCCGCCCCCTCCGCCTGCGTCCCGCCCTCTCCGCCTGCGTCCCGCCCCCTCCGCCTGCGTCCCGCCCCCTCCGCCTGCGTCCCGCCCCCTCCGCCTGCGTCCCGCCCCCGGGTACCAATGTTCATGGTGACATCATTGGCGAGAGGGGGACGGTCTCCCCATCCGTGTGTGAATGGATGCACACATTGGAGTATCACACAGCCAGGAGCAGGACGAGGCTGTGACCACACTATTACATGAAGGGACCCCGTGCTTAGTGAGAGAAGCAGACACAAAAGGTCCCACAGTGTGAGGCTCCATGGAGAGGAACCATCCAGGGCGGGCAGCTCTGGGGACAGGAAGGGAGCTGCTGCCGGCTGGGAAGGGACAGTACGTTGGTTGCACTCAACACCGCTGCATCGTCCTCTGCAGTGGAGTTTTACAATATGTGGACTATTAATGTCAGCAGCAGCAGTTGGCTCTTAGACTGTCTTCCCTGCTCTATGCGCCACGCGCTTTCATTTCTTGTCTGCTCCCTGATGGATTGTGGGGCAGAAAGGTGTCCATCACCCTAGAGTAGTAATGGATGCTCAACCTGGACTTGTTTTTGAGCTGATGAATGAATGAATGAACAAATGGAAGAACAGACCGACAGATATACAGGTGGATGGATGGATGGATGGATGGATGAGGGATGGATGATGGGTGAATACATGATGGATAGATGAATGAATGAATGGATCTTGGATGAATGATGGTTGGTTGGTTGAATAAACGGATGCGTGGATGGATGGATAGACAAATGAGCACAGGAGTGGATTACTGCAAGAAGTAATGAATGGATGCGTACATGATAAAATGACCACTGTCCCTGACCCTGCTTCTGCTGTCCCCTCAGTCAAACCAGACCCTCCCGCTGGCGTGCGCCTGAGCCAAGTCTCTGGGCAGCGATTGCAGGTGCAATGGCAGCCGCCGCAGTCCTGGCCCTTCCCAGAGGTCTTCTCCCTCAAGTACTGGATCCGCTACAAGCGTCATGGAGCCACCCGTTTCCGCCAGGTGAGGAGGTGCCAGGGGGCACCTGGAAGGGGGAACAGCGGGGCCACAGCCCATAGGTGCTGTGGGGCTTTGCACGGAGCTCGGGGTTAGACAGCAGCTCCACTCCAGACTGTTCACAACAGGGGCCACAGTGGGCCTCACTCCATCCTTGCTCTTTGTGCTCAGGGTGAGCACACCTCACTCCTGTCCTTGGTCCTATATGCTCAGAGCTGCCTGCAAGACACACAGCAGCCCAATATCCACAGAAGGACAAATAGCCACACACAAGGTGGAATATTACCCAGCCAGGAACAGGATGAGCTGTGACCCATGCTACAATCTGAAGGATCTGGAGGCCACTGTGCTCAGTTTGAGAAATAGACACAAAAGACTCCACAGTGTGCAGCTCCATTGATAGGAAATGTCTAGAACAAGCAGATCCAGAGACAGGAAGTGGACTCATGCGGACCCGGGCAGGGAAGGGGATGGGGTGATGCTCATGAGGACAGACCTGCTTTGGGGGCGATGGATGGTTGTGGAACTAGAGATGTTTGCGCATCATCGTGAAATACACTAAATGCCCCTGAACGGTCTGCATTAAAAGGGTTCATTTTATTATGGTACACCATTTTCACCTTCATAGGAAAAAAATACATTGCTGTAAATTTTAGAAAAGTAAAAACTAAATCGGGGCACTGGTGGCTCAAGCCTGTAATCCTAGCTACTCAGGAGGCTGAGATCTGAGGATTGCGGTTTGAAGTCAGATCAGGCAGAAAAGTCTATGTGAGACTCATCTCCAATTAACCACCAGAAAACTGGAAGATGTACTGTGGCTTAAAGCGGTAGAGCTCCAGCCTTGAGCAAAATAGCGCAGGGACAGTGCCCAGGTCCCGAGTTCAAGCCCCACAACCCACAAAATAAATTTTAAAAATTAATTGTTAACCCTCCTCCCCTTTTTTCCAAGGCCTGGGGCTTGAACTCAGAATCTGGGCACTGTCCCCGAGCTTCTTTTGCTCAAGGCTAGCACTCTACCACGTGAGCCACAGCATCACTTCTAGCTTTTTCTGTGTATGTGGTACTGAGGAATAGAACCCAGGCCAGCACCCTACCACTAGGCCACATTCCAGCACTTGTCTTCTGTTTATTTGGGGCTCCTACCTATACAATCTTTCACTAAACGATTCCCACCACAGATTTCTTTTTGCTATTTTGGTATCTGAGCCAGGGTTCTGCTGCGTAGGCCTCCTGCCTCTACTTCCTCAGTGCTGGGATTACTGGTGTGTACCCCCACACCTGGAAGATAGTGCAATTTCTTTTCTTTTTGGCAGGACTGGGGTTTAACCACAGGACCTTACATACACTAGGCAAGTACTCAACTACTGAGCCATGCCCCCACCCCAGCACTAGGAAATTTTGAGCTCACATAATACTGAGCATTGTGGCTCATGCCTATAATCCTAACTACTCAGGAGGCTGATATCTGAGGATCCAGGCTCAAAGCTGCATCTAGGACAGCTTTTGTGTGGTGACACAGCACATAGTATTCTGTCCATACATGTGTGTCCGTGCATGCATGTGTGTGTGTGTGTGTGCATGCTTGTTGTATGTGTGATCTCCTTCTGATAAACCCAACACAACCCAGTCCACAGGAAGCTTCAACCTGAACATCTTGCATAATTCATAGAGGCCCCACCTCCAAACATCATGGTAGGAATGAGTTTCCACCATCTTCATTTCTCAGTGGGGAATCACCGTCAATGTATGAACACTTGAGGGACAACCAAGCCACAGTCCGACCATAAGAGAGTTGTTAGGAAAAGCCATGTGGGCTGGGCATTTGGGAGCAGAGTCTAGGACTGGAGCTTAGGCGTATAAGGTGGATGTCTCAGGGTGGGGCCCGGTGCATGGTGACCCTTCCCACCTCTTCTTTCCTATGACCTGACTGTCTCCTGCTCCCAGGTGGGACCCATCGAAGCCACCACCTTCACCCTCAGGGCTGTGAGACCTCACTCCAGGTATTTAATCCAGGTGGCTGCTCAGGACCTCACCGACTACGGAGAGCCCAGTGACTGGAGTCTCCCTGCTGCTACCTCCCTGGCCCTGGGCAAGTAATGGAGACTCCCCAGAGCTCCTAAATGGAGGGGCTGATTGATCCTGTCATGCCCCACACACACTGCTGTCTATTTGAGAGTGGGGAGATCCATCTGGACTGGTTTCCAGTTCTGACCTGATGCTGCTGAGAAGCTGGGAAATCTCGAGCCAGTGTCTTTGCCTCTCTGAGCCTCAGTTTCCTGGCCTGTGAAATGGGATTGGGTCCTCCCCGACTTGAGCACAGTACAGAGCTTCAAAAACAAGTATTTTTAATTAAAAACTTTCACTAGCAAAGAAGCTTTGTTGGAAACAGCATGCCTGCTGTCTTAGTCCTATTTTTTCATGTGTGTGCCACTATAACAGAGAAACCTAGAATGATTTTTTTTCTGGAGATAGGAGTCACTATGTAACTCAAGCTGTCTGGAAACTGAAAGTGAAGCCCAGCCTGGGCTCAAAGTTATTGCGACCCCATCTTTTATCAGTATGCTGGTGTGGTGGCTCATGCCTATAACCCCAGCTACTCTGAAGACATAGGTAAAAAGATGGCAGTCCAGTAGAGCCTGGGGAGAAGTGTGTGGCCCTGTCTGAAAAATATAGAGCTGAGTGCCAGTGGCTCAACACCTGTAATCCTAGCTAGTGAGGAGGCTGAGATCTGAGGATCTGGTTTGAAGCCAGCCCAGACAAGCAAATCCAAGAGATATATCATGAATTAATCACCAAAAAGCTGGAAGTGCAGTTCTGGCTCACATGGTAGAGCACAAACCTTGAATCCAAAAGCTCAGAGATAGCACGCAGGATCCAGGACCAGCAATAACAACCACAGTAAAAACCACAAATACACTGAAAGTGGGTGGGATTTGAGGATTTACTGAGATTGCCTGTCTACAAGGCTGAAGGTCACTTGGAGTCAGGAAGTTTAATTACATACAGTAAAGCTACCAGTACAGCCATATTCACTTCAGCTCTATGAGCCATAGCCAAGGCATGGAATTAGCCCAGATGCTCCTTAGTGGATGAATGGATCAAGAAAATATGATATATATAATGGAATTTTACTCATCCATTAGAACAACTGATATTACAACATTTGTAAAGGTATGGACAATGTGCGGATAGTTCATGCCTGTAACTCCAGCTATTCAGGAGGCTGAGATCTGAGGATTGCAGTTTGAAGCCAGCCTGGGCAGGAAAGGCCATGAGACTTTTTTCTCAAATTAACCACCAGAAAACCAGATGTGGTGCTGTGGCTCAAACTGGTAGAAGGCTAGCCTTGAGTGAAAAAGCTCAGGGACAGTGCTGAGGACCTGAGTTCAAGCCCCAGGACAAACAAAGAAAAGAAAAGAAATGGAAAAACCTGGAATAATAAATTATGTTAAGAAAAGTAATTCAGGCCCAGAAAGACATCAGATGTGTGTTTTCCCTTACATGTGGAAGCTAAATTTAGCTTAGAAACTCTTCATACATTAGGTGGAATGCAAGTGTATACAAATGTATTAACTGAAATACAGTGGATTCAATAGTGTAATTCCTTAGCAAAATCAAAGTTCAGCAAAATAAAACTCCAGGAAGCAGGTACTCCAAAGGGGTGGAGTGTGGCCAAGGGTAAAGGGATAGAAGAATGAAGAGGAGAAGAGGAGGAGATGCAGTTAAGAATCCTATGTCCATTCTACAAAATGAGAAAGAGTGAGGGAAGGGGGAGGGAGGGATGAGAATGTTGAACGGGGTGATATGGATCAAGATATATTGTGAACTGCTTTGTTAAATGGCAACTCCTGCAGGGTGCTGGTGGCTCACGCCTGTAATCCTAGCTACTCAAGAGGCTGAGATATGAGGATCACGGTTCAAAGCCAGCCCGGGCAGGAGAGACCATGAGACTCCTATCTCCAATAAACTACCAGAAAACCGGAAGTGGCGCTGTAGCTCAAGTGGTAGAGCGCTTGCCTTGAGCTGAAGAGCTGAGGGACATCGCCCAGGCCCAGAGCTCAAGCCCCACGACTGACAATAAATAAATAAATGGCAACTCCTTGTAAAACTACTTAAAGAAAAGGAAAATATAGATATTAAAAATGCTTAATTACAACATTTTTCTCTCCAACCTTGGTATCCCATTTTCATTTGGGTTGCATCCCCGCCACTCATGGCTGGCTGCTACCTGAATCTAAAATTAAGGAATCCAAAGGCCTGTAAAAAAATATTTCTAGATTCTTCTCTGTAACTTCCGGTAGAATACAACCTGGCCATTTTGAGGAGTAAAGAGAACAGTACTTGGGCTTGTACTCAGGGCCTTTCATGCTCCTGAGTCTTGCTTACTCACTTAGCCCTTGAACCATGCCTCTAGTCCAGCTTTTTGGTGCTTAATTGGAGATAAGAGTATTTTCTTCCCAGGCTGGCTTTGAACCGTGATCCTCAGATCTCAACCTTCTAAGTCATTAGATTACAGGTGTGAACACTGGCACCTAGCTCTCAACGTTTTCATCATAAATACTCCAGGATGTTAGGGCACTAGTGCCTTCTGTGAGCCAATGTGCCTGTACCCATGTCTGGGGTTCACTAATCAACTTTCTTGGTATATACTTCAATGTGCCCTTGAAATTATTCTTTTTGGGGACAACATAATTTCGTGGTACTGCCAGGCACTCAGGAGGATGAAATCTGAGGATCGCAGTTCAAAGCCAGCCTGGGCAGGAAAGTGTATCTCCAATAAACTATTCAGAAAAGGCCAGAAGTGGTGCTGTGGCTCAACTGAGAGGTGCTAGCCTTGAGCACAAACTGGTTCAGAGACAGTGCCCAGGCCCTGAGTTCAAGACCCAAGACTGGCATAAAAACCAACAAAAAAAGTGGCACCCCATGGGGCCCAGCAGAGCCCCGAGCCTTTTGGATACCTTGTACCTGTAGTATCTCTGGTCACTCACCTGATGACAGATGAACCCATCCCTATCCCAATTTAATTTTTTCCTCCCATCAAGGGAGTCACTTTCTCAATACTATCTATCTCACAAGGGGATATTTCCACTACATGGACTTGGTAGACCACATTCAGTAGTCTAGACCTGGCTCTCTGCTGCGTCCCCAGTATAAACGCAGAACAAACTTTATGAAAGAGACAGCCAGGTAGCTCATCTTTGAAAGATCAGGAGAATCGTGATTTGAAGCCTGCCCCTCAAAAACAAACAAACAACAACAAAAAAAAAACCCGAGACTCTATCTTCAATTGTAGTGGGAGAGGCAGTGAGACCACTCAGTCCGCAGTAAAAATATAAAAGATTTTATTGAGGGAAAAGTGCTGATGCGCCAGGACTGCACCTGGAGTTGGGATCCCAGGAAACAGCCCCGAGTGCCAGCCCATATGGGCTTTTAAGCATTTGGGGCTAGGGCGGGGAAAGGGGGAGGCTGGGTGTTGGTTTTAGCCAATGATTGTTACAAGAAATGCACACCTTAAGTTTAAATTTCCAGCCAAAGTTTTGCTTGTGGGAAGCAGGGGAATAGAAGAAAGGGTGGTGATGGTCCTGCTGGGTTAGGGCTCACATTGCTCAGAAAAGAGCCTTCGAGTGACAGAGTGACAGGGTTATGGAGTTACAGAGTTACAATTACAGTTACTAGCTAAAGTAATGAGTTACCAGGGAAGTCTTATCCACAGCACACTTACATTTGTATCTTACAATCATTCATTATCCATTTTACACAATCCAAGTCAAACATCATATTCCATCTTTACGTCCTCCACCATGTCACAATTACACAACAAAAAGCAGAAATGGAGCCGTGGCTCAAGTGGTAGAGGGCCAATCAATAACGCCAAAGGAGCACGCAAAGCAAAAAGAGGATGAAAAACACAGAACTCCGCAGTGTCAGAACAAAATTTTAACCAGTGATTCTAGAGTGGTAGCAACGCACCCACGAAAAGGAAGGGTCCAAATTCCGACGGCCGCGGAACCTTGATTCCACGGGCTCGTGTTTGCAAGTCGGGTGGGAACACACTCGGACTCAGTTGCCTGGGAGCTGCAAACACGGACCGGAAGCTGCATTCGCAGCAGCCAATAGGAGATGCAGGCGGAAGTGGCGTATCCGGAAACACGGGTGACGGTCGAAACCGCTTCAAAAAGCCCTAACATACCCAAGTCTCGGGAGCTTGGCAGCCGCGTAGGAGGCGAAGATGTCGGAGCGGAAAGTTTTAAACGTAAGAATCCGGCTGTTTCGCCTTTCTACCCGCAGGGGGATGTGAACGGACTCCGGGGAGGGGCCGCAACTCCCTGCGATTTCCATTCGGGGCCGGTTTGTCCTCCCGGGCTTGGCCCCCCGGACGCCGCCCAATCACCGCCCTCGGAGGGCGGAGGCGGGCCCTCAGTGAGCCTTCCTCCCTCTGATTGGGTGCACGTCCTGGGGGCGGGGCTAGCCGCCCTCCTTTTCCTCTGGCTTCTGAGATTGGCTCTTCCTGCGGCGTCTATCCAGTCAGCGCCTCTGGTAGCCGAACGTCCAGGAGGAATTAGCGAAGCTGTCTTAAAGGTCCCGCCCCTCCGACGTTTCTGACCAATCATCGTTCCCGGGAGGGTTCTGTTTTGCGTTCGAGCTTCGGTTCGGCCAGTGAGGGACCCTGCCAGTACTTGGGAGCGCACCCCACCTCACCCCACCCACCCGGTTGTTTAGAGCCCATTCGGAGCCCCATGGCTCCCCTTCCTCCAGTGTGCCGCAGCAGTTTGCCCCAGAGTCATGTCAACAGAACTAAACCCTGAACAGCTTGAATCTTGAGAGACTCAGTGTCCCCCTCTGTAAAGTGGGTACATTTTGCTTTCCTACCTCCTTGGGGTCGTTGCTAGTGATCCTTGAGACATGGAATATAGTGTGTTCTGCGTATTGGCTGCATCCCACTAAATCTGCTGCAAACAACAAATCATTTTATCTTCTGATTCTTCAGTGACTTGGAATTGTGATTTTATTTTTATTTTTTGTTGTTTTTGAGACAGAGTCTCTGTAGCAGAGGCTGGTCTGGAATTTCTGATCCTCCTGCCTGGGATGTTAGAAATGCACGACTCCTTGGTGTCATAAATGAATGGACAGATAAGAGATATAGGAGATAAGAGATATTTAAGAGATATAGGCAATTTTGTTTTTCTCACAATGGTGCAATACGATATTCTACCCAGAGCTAGTTGGGTACACTGTGCAGGGCAGTTATCTAGGCTTTTATCCCAATCTAAACTGTCTCTTCCCCTTGTCAAGGAGTTAGGCCCACAGTCTAAGTATCATTGATTACCAAGTTTAGAAAGCGGGCCATTCACTAATTCCTTTATTTTTCCTCATTTATCTATTGCAGTTTA